GATAGTAGATACTAAAAAATGTTGGTTAATGAAGGCCCCTTCTCTGCCCACGCTCTACCTTTATCATGGCACTTTTCAGGAGGCATTCTAACTATCCACTTATCCATCTTTCTCCCTCAGAAGTTGGTGACTCTCTCAAAGCTAGGGACCCTGCTAAATTTGTTTGTTTTGTTTATAAATCTATCGTAGCTCCAGGAACACCACCACCCCAACCTGGTAATCTCTGCATTGGGTACCTATTTTCTGTCTTATCTGTGCTAGACTTTAGAGATGCCAACAGCAGCAGCAGCAGAAGCAGCAAGATGAATAATGTCAGTTGGGGTCAAGGAAATAAAACAAAACCAGGAAAGTTGTATGGAGGAAGCCTAGCTTACCTTCGATGCCCTTTCTAGACAGGGAAAGTTGATAATTGGGAAGAGGTTTTCTTCTGGCCACAGAGACTATTCACCACCAACTTATGTTTGAGAAACTCAGATGCTTCATGTCCAGGCTGAGGGAAGAGGAGGGGGGGAGTGGTGTGTTGACAGAGTGGGGAGGAGAAACTAACCAAGAGCTATTATATACAAGCAAATAAGACATAGTTGTGTCTTCAGGGAGCTTACAGTTTGGGGAGAGTGAGCAGGACAGGAAATATAAACATACCGTTGATGTTACAGTGTGATATGTTCTGTAATTGGGGATGCATGTATCTTCAAATTCGTTCTGTTATGAAGGGCAGAGCCTACCTATATAGTTCCGTGAAGTATGAAAAGTCACTTTCAGACCATCAGAGCAGTCTCGCAGTGCAGTAGGGGTCTCAGGAAAGGAAAGAGTTTGCTATCGGTAGAAATGTAAGAGCTGGGTTGAATGATCCCATGAATGTGTCATAGAGGAGGCTCTAAACCCAAATGTGAGGGTCAACCAAATGGCCTTTAAGTACATTCTAGCATCAGCGTTCTGTAACCCTAAGTTCCTTTTTTTCCCCCTCTTAGCCTGAGGATGTCATTTATAAAACAAACAGGGTTGGAGGATCAAATAAATCTCGTCCTATTCTGCCATCTTATATCTGTCAAATTCAAGTGAATGAAAAATAATTCAACTTGGAAACATTGAAGGGAGATCCTATAATTGCCCCCCAAAGTAAAAGGCATCTGAAATGGCAAAACAGGGGTATGATTACCCTTAGCCTCACAATCCTCTCACGTGAAGCTGAATATAGATTTCAGCTATGAGACTGGGTCACTTTGCTTCCCAGATTAAACCCCTGACTTTCTTTTTGATAAGTGGCAGATCTCCATGATGCTAATTAAGAGACAACAAGTTATCCACCTTGGTTCTGAAATTGGAAAACGATTGAGGGATATTATGAGATGAATTTTCTTTGGACTTGGAAAAGATTTAGGGAAAGGCATATTAACAAAGATACATTATTAAAGTGCAGTATTTACAAATCCCAAAGAAGCTTTTAGGGATTTAGGGATTTAATCTTTGACTTCTAAAATCAGCTTTCCATCGTCTGTCAAAATACCAATGAGCATTAAAAAGCTGCAGGGAGCAGTGAGACAGGCACTTACCTACTGCTAGTGCGAGTACAAATTGATAGGAAACAGTTTGGCAAAGTATGCGAAAACTCTTAGCATGTCACTTCTCATCACCTCTGCTGATTTTGCCCTGATCTGAGGTCCATCATCTATTGCTAGGAGTTTGCAATAGCCTCCTAACTGGTCTCTGCTTCTCTGCACTGCCCCCACTATAGTCTGCTTTCAACACAGTAATCAGAATGACCCTTTACAAACGAAAGTGAAATGATTTTATTCTGCTCAAACCCTTGTGATGTCTTCTCATTTCACTCAGAAAGAAAGTGAAGTCCTTTCAATAGGACTATGAGGCCCTATGTGAACTCTCCAGCCCTTTATCTCTCTGACTTCCTCTTCTACTACTACTACTACTACTACTACTACTACTACTACTACTACTACTACTACTTCCCCCCATTTGTTCCACTTCAGCCATACTGGCCTCTTTGCTGTTCCTCGGACATATCCCATAGGTTTTCTACTTAGGGGCTTTGTACAGTTTCCTTCATCTGAAATGCTCTTTCTTTAGCCATCTGCTTGGTTAACTTTATTTCCTTCAAGTCTTTTTGAAAATCTTACCTTCTCAATGTCTTATTACTGCCATTCAGTGCGGCAGTGCCCTCCCTCCAACACTCTGGCATTTCTTACACCCTCTACTCTGCCATTTTTCTCTTTTCCATAGCACTTTAGATTGTGTTTATTCATATTTACTATTTATCTACTGCCTTCTCCTATCTTTTTAAAATATAAGCTCCGTAAGCACAGGCATCACAGTTTCTAGCACAGAGTAAATACTCAAATATTTGTTGAATGGATGAGCTTTAAAAATAGCACTATCTTTTTACCTAGAAATCTCACTTCTAGAATTGTTCCTAAAATAATCAGAGATTTAATCAAAGAATTATTTAGGTTGTTCTCATAGCTTTATTTTAATGAAAATTTGCAAACAACCTAAACATCTAAAAACAAAGTAATGGTTAAATAGTTTGATATATCTACATAATGGAATGTCACAAAGACATTTAAAATAATGTTTTTGAAGAATATGTAATTATATGGGAAAATACTTATAATGTTAAAGAGGAAAAGTAGAATATAAAACTATACCCCTACCTCACACCCTTTACAAAAATGGATTGATAGTCTAGATATAAGAGTCAAAACCATAAAACTCATAGAAGAAACCATGGGGTTAAATCTTCGTGACCTTAGATTTGGCAATGGATTGTTAGGTATGACACCGAAAGTATGAGCAACAAAACAAAATGGTAAATTGGACTTCATCAAAATTAAAAACTTTTGTGCATCAAAGGTATTGTCAAGAAAAGGAAAAGACAACCCATGGAATGGGAGAAAATATTTGCAAATCATATATCTGATTAAGGTTTAATATCCAGATTATATAAAAGATTCCTAAAATTCCAACAACAGAACCAAGTGACCCAGTTTTTTAAGTGGGCAACTATTTTGAATAGACATTTCTCCATAGAGATATATGGATGGCCAATAAGCACATGAAAAGATGTTCAACATCATTAGTCATTAGGGAAATGCAAATTGAAATCACAGCAAGACACCACTTCATTCCTACTAGAATGGCTATAATAATAATAAAAAAAAGTAACAAGTGTTGGTGAGGGTGTGGGAAAATTGGAATCCTCATACATTGCTGATAATATAAAATAGTGTAGCCACAATGCAGAACAGTTAGGTGGTTCCTTAGAAAGCTAAGCATGTAATTACTGTATGACCCAGCAATTCCACTCCTAAGTATATACCAAGAAACTGAAAACAGGGACTCAGACATATACTTGCACACCAATGTTCCTAGCAGCATTATTCACAATATCCAAAAGGTGGAATCAACCCAAATGTCTTATCAACAGATAAATGGTAAATAGAATATGGCATATACATACAGTGGAGAATCATTCAGCCTTAAAAAGGAATATAGTTTCAATACATCCTTAAACATGGATGAATCTCAAAAACATTCTACTAAAGTGAAAGAAGCTAGACACAAAAGGGTAGTATATGATTCCATTTATATAAAATATCTAGAGTAGGCAAATTCATAGAAACAAAGTAGATCGAGGTTAATAGGAGCTATGGGTAGAGGGAATGAGATGTTATTGCTTAATGGGTATAGAACTTGGAGTGATTAGAAAGTTTTTGTAACAAACTGAGGGCAGATGGAGGGGAAGAGGGGGTGATGGGTATGGAGGAGGGCACTTGTGGGGATGAGCACTGGGTGTTATATGGAAACCAACTTGACAATAAACTATTATTAAAAAAAGAATATTTCTATTTTTAATAACATTCTTTTCAAAGCAAATAATTGTACCTTTATATTTGATCTCTATAAATAAAAGGAAATTCTAAAAACATTAAAAAAAAAGTTTTTGTAACAGATAGTGGGGATGTTTGTACAAAATTTAGAACATGATTAATGATGCTGAATTATACACTTATATGGTTAAAATCACAAATGTTATATGTATTTTGTCCCAGTAAAAATTTCCAAAAAAAGGGGCTCCCTACAGGCTAGTTGGTAGAGCACGTGACTCTTGATCTTGGGGTCGTGACTTCAAGCCTCACATTGGAAAGTAGATTGTACTTTTTAAAAAATCCTTTAAAAATTAAAAACTATATATAATATGTAGTGACAGGCTGGATCTGGCTCGTGTGTGCTCTCTAGAGCCAGTTGTGAGCATCTTTTCCCAGCTACTCCTTCAGTGACATTGGTAGCTTGAAATTGGCCATGGTTGGAGTATTTTTACCATGGAACTTGGCAAATGCTTTAAATAGAGTCCACTTCAATCCCCTCAAGCCAGTTGTTAAATATTTACCAGAGCACCACTGGATATGTGTGTGTAAAAGTGTATAGAAAACTTTCAGGAAGAATAGCTGTCACTACCTCTGGGGAGTAGTGTTGCAGTAGGAATGTGAGAATAAACTCAAGACTTTTTACCACATACACTTCAATGGTGTTTCCATTTTTTTTCTTTTTTATGGTGAGTATATAGACATAAAATTCTTGTACTGTTTTTTTAATGTTTATTTAATTTTGAGAGAGAGCGAATGCACAAGTAGGGGGAGGGGCAGAAAAAGGGAGACAGAATCTGAACCAGGCTCCATGCTCTGTGCTGTCAGCACAGAGCCAGACACAGAGCCCAAACCCATGAACCATGAACCATGAACCTGAGCCAAAGCTTAACGGACTGAGCCACCAGGAGCTCCATTTCTTGTGCTATTTTTTAGAAAAGAAAATCTGCATGTATTAGGATTGTGGTATTGGTGACTTTACTCAAGAGGCGAAAAGCTGGTAAGGTCACATTATACCATCTGAAAAGGCCCATGAAGAGGCCAGGCCAACCCTGGGACTTGGATTCTGTTTCCTTTTCTTCTTGTCCAACTAATTGGGGCTTTTTTGTCTCTTCACAGGTTACCCTACAGCCTACCCGGCAGCAGCCCCTGCCTACAATCCCAGCCTATACCCCACCAATAGCCCCAGTTATGCTCCAGGTAAGGAGAAAGTGGAGACAGCAGTGTGCCTGGGATGAGAGGTGGGGCTCTGTTTGGTAAAAAACAAACCCACCTGCTACCCTTTCTCTGTCCTTAATTGCTCTGGACTCAGTCCATCCAGGCCTGATTTCTCCTGGGAGTTCCCTCTGGGAACTGGGGCAGTTCAGCCTAAGGTTTGGGGTGGGACTAGAATCTCCTCCATTCTCCTTGGGATTTAAGGTTGGCCCATCTCATCTCTGCTGGAATATCTAAGACATGCATCCTCCTCACAGAACCTTTTCTGCTCTCCCAAACAATGTCCAAAGCAACTCTTTGCTCATTTTCCCCTAAGGCTGCTGTTGGGACACACACAGATACACACACACACACACGCGCGCGCGCGCGCGCGCACCCCCCCCCCCAGACTTCCTGGGTGTGGATTTGGAAGAGAGTGAGAGACTTGCCACCAGAGGATAAAGAACTGGTTTTCAAGCTGAGGCAAGGAACCTGTTTTTCAAAAATAACAAAAGCCTAGCATCCTTTATCTTATCCATTCCTGGATAGAGATCGAAATAGATTTGAAAATGTTAAAAAAAAAAAAAAAAAAATAAAGTTCTCATTTGGGCTAGGAGCAGTGCAGAGGTCTTACCACCAATACTAACCCTCACACTTAGCGGGTGCATTATCACTCAAGGGGCTGGAGAGAGGGCCTGGTGATGCTCCATGTAGAAAGTCCTGGGTTTGAATCCTGATTACTCACCTCACTAGCTGTGAGGCCTTGGACAAAATAACTCATCTCTCAGAGAAATGTGCTACTTACCTCAGGGATGTAGATGGTTTTAAGTAAGTTCATTTACTCAACAAGTACTTATTGGTCGAATGTCCTCCCACTAGAATAGAGAAAAAGAGCCATCTTTGCCTAAAATAACTTCTAGTTCATTTGGGAGTTGGCATATAAACAGATTCATAGCTGTGCAGTGTAAATAAAGGGTACAGGATGCTTCACAGGGGCTCTCGCAATAGAGACCTGAGGGAGAAGCAGGAGACATTCTTTAAAACATGTAAAGAGTTGGACGTTTTAGGCAGAGTAAACCTTGGGCAAAGGAGTGGTGATGTGGGAGTGGTTGAAGCTCACTGTAGGGACAGGGATAATAGAAGAATCTGAACTACAAATGTCCAAGGGCCAGATTTAGAAAGGCTTTAAATGCCGTAATCATACCCCCATTTTCTTGTTTAGTAATGATTATTGTAGAGTTAAAAAGTTTGAAAGACCTTAAAGATCTTCCAGTTCAACTCCTTCTCTGGACCCGGGAGATCCAGAGATAAACAGTGTTTTGTCCAAGTTACTCAATGATGCAGCAATAGCATATGGACTAGAACCCTTGGCAGATCCTCAAGTTTTTGGTCTCATGCTTTTCTGTGCCAGTCCAGCACTCATCCTACCATTGTTCTCTTTCTTCTGGAATATTTAAGTAAGAGAAAAACGTGGTCTCTGTCAGAAGACCTAGATGTGAGTTCTGACTGTCACTTCCTCAATTAACAACCTTAGAGTCACTTGACCTCTCTGAACCTCAGTTGTCCCATTGTAAAGTAGGGATCATTTTGTAATCATACACATTAACACACATACTGTGATCCCCCTCTTTTTGGGGATACAAAGCACTATTTTATGCAAATAAGTGATATTAACCCCTAAAGTCCTTACATAGGTGTGTCATTCCACAGACATTTATTTTGGCCCTGCTATGCTCAGGGCAGTCTGGAAGACTCTGCTTGTGATTCAGACTTGAGGAAGCTAAAGTCATTGACCTCAAAGAGCTTGTGAGGGTAGCAGTAACCCACAAGCTAAAAATCTCTATCTCAGGATCAGTAGTTTATTCTATATTAACTTTTAATCAGTAAGATACATATTTCAAAAAATGTTAAATAGGCAGAAACAATATAAGCTACAGAAATTAACTATGATAAAAGATTTAATCAAATGGGATAAGATCTGTCTTAAAAACTCCAGTGGTTTTGATTATCAAGTATCTCCCAATATAGAAATGATTTAAATTTAAATGCTATGAGATCTGTGAATTGGCTTCATAAACTATCTGATCTAAAACAGAATGGGGTGAGTAGTTGCAAAAGGTCAGCTAAGGTCAGGAATGAAGAAGGTGAGTTGTGTTTGTAGTCAGGAGGCTGCCAGTGACCTGCGGAAGCAGAGGCAATGAGATGGTGTGGCTGGGAGTGAAGAAGCAGAGTTAGCAGATAGAGCCTGCTTACAAGAGGCTTGGCTATGGGGGAAAGGAGAACAAGGGCAGGTGGGGTTAAAGGAGCCAGTGTTTTAGATGCGAGCATGATTAAGGAAGTGCTGATGGGAAGGAGCAAGTGGGGAGGACAAGTTAGAGAGGCAGGAGGAGGGCTGCCAGATAGAGCCAGGCCTTGAAGGAGGTTATGCTGAGGAGGGAGATCTAGAGCTGTTCTCTTCTTTGTTTTGGGGAGCAGATGGAGTAGGCTGCCTCACGCAGGAGGGTAGCTCTTCTTCTCAGGCTAAAGGAAGGGTCACAGATGGATGTGCTTAGAATACATTGTCCAGTGGAAAGTGGACAGTTCTTGTCTAATGACTTTGATTTGCTGTTTGAGAGGTTAGCAAGGATAGAGGGAGGGTTCTTAAGGAGAGAGGTCAATATGTGAAAGCCTTACTGGAAGGAGAAGAGGTGTCACCAGCAGGTGACACAGTCGTGTAAGAGGAGGCCCCACTGAGGGTGGAGGCTGTGAATTCATCAAGGCTCTAATTTCCAGCACTGGGGCATTTTCTCATAATGTTCAGAACATATGGTGCTGGTTTGTGAAACTGTTTGAAGATTAGTTTAGCGAGAAAATGGAAGGACAGAGAATAAAAATAAACAGATAATATTTGTTGAATGGTTCCTATGCACCGGAACTATTTTAAACCCTTTTGGATATTGACTTGTTTTCTATCACAGCAAACTTTGAAGTCATTACTATCGTCATTCCCATTTTCCAAGTGGGAAATTTAGAGAAGTTGGGATTCAGGCATCCTGCCACCATACCTGCATGTGCTCTGCAGTTGGCCAGAGAGAAACTAGAGCAACCAGACTAGAGAAAACATGCAGAAGGAGCCTGGGACTGTGGGAAAAAAAGGGGAGAGATTGGAAAGCTCCCAGCATGTATAAAGTACTGATTAAGTCTTAATTTTGAAACAAACAAATATCAGCCCACATCTAACTTGATTTTCCCCAATTTGTGTTTTCAAAATTTCACCATATTTCTAAGCTATGACTAAAGCAGCCTGACCATTTCCTTAGAAACCCATGCAGTCCACTGTAGAGCATGGTATTTCCACGTGGTGTCAGAAAGCCCCGAACTAGGAGTTGGAAGGACTGGGGTTATACCCCTAACTCTGCTACTGATTTTGGTGTGACCTTGGGCAGATCCCTTTCCTTTGGAGTTAGACACACACACCTCACTGGTCTGTTTCATATTTTCAGAGGCCGGCCTCTGCATTCAGCAGGTCTCCTGATTACATTAGGGGAGTTCCTGCCAAGGAAGAGCCAGCTCAAGGACAGAGAGGGCGGTGTAGGTTACTCTCAGCTTCCTGCCAGAAGGAGCCATTCGTGATGCTGAGAGATGCCTGTGGGGTAGAAGCCTGCAAAGAGCCAGGCTCTCAGGCTTAAATTTCTCTCAGCTTCTTCAAGGAGGCCAAGAAGTTGCTTCAGAGAGAGCTATTTTTAGCAGCTCTGAGTACTCTAAGATGTCATCTGTTCAGGATACAGGGAAACATTTCACTCTTTCATTGGTTCTGAAAGCAGTGTGGGTACTTGGGAGTTTTTTTTTTTTTTTTCCCCAAGCTCTTAATGACTTCAGGGATCTTATTTAAGAACTGTTTGGCTCTGCAGGAAGCAGGAGCCAACTGAGACTCGTTCTCAGAATCTGAAAACCAAAGGATGTATCACATTATTGGTAATCTGACCTGAAAATGAAAGAAAAGGATGAATAGAATAACTAATATAGATAGAAACGAAATACCTCCTCATAAGAGATGTGTTTATAAACCATTTTCACCTACTGTGTCATTTGATTTCATAGCAACTTTATGAAGTACAAATACAGATTGTTCCTGTTTTGCATGTGACAAACTTGGGGAAGGGCAAGGGAAGGGAATTTGTGTTTCCTGAACACCTGCCATATTCCAGGCACCGTCTGAGTGATGTCACAAATGTTAATTATTGCTTTAGTCTTGTGTGATCCTGCCTCCGGTTTTGCTCAGAGTTTAAATATCTTGTCCAAAGTTGCACAGCTAAAAAGCAGTGGACCTGGAATTCAAACCCAGACCCCCCTGTAGCACCTCAATCCTCCAGAAGTTTCAAGTGATGAAGTACCTCTGCATTGGTCCTAGCCCTCCGAAGCTTTACAGAAAGCTCTTCAGAGGCCAAATGTGATGATTTTGAACCCTGAACCTTTACTTCCTCTCACACACAAAGCCTCTGTCATGTGCAAAGTCCCTCTGCAGTGCAAAGAGCACGAACTTGGGTCAGATGCCTGGAAGTTGCCATGGCATCAAGGAGATTCTTCTCCTCAGTGGATGGCAAGTCTGTCTTTCTCTCCAGGATAGAGGCACTTCACGCCCTGTGCATTCACTGTTTCTTACGTAGCCCGGGGGAAACTGCTATCTTGAGACAGTCTGTTTTTGTAACTGCAATGTGTACTACTTTGCACAAATTCTTAGTGGTAATTTCAACTAACATTTCTATCCAACAGAGTTTCAGTTCCTGCATTCAGCTTATGGTAGGAGAGCTATTTTTCCTCATCTGTATTATGGCCTATGAATGTGTTACCTCGTAACAACAATAGATTCCATCTCCTTCCCTCCCCAAATCCCATCCCTTAGGCTTGGGCTCCCCCAGGTGGCTCAGCAGCAGTTCCTAAAGCATGCAGGAACATGTCTGATGGTGCAAAATCATGGGTTGGAGACACACATGCACCGTCCCCTAGGGCAGCGATGAAGGATCATGGCACTAAAAGGCGTCTTTCCCCTTCCTCACCTCCGGGGTCCCATCTGACCTAGGTCAGAAACTTTCACCCTAACCTGACTGCTGAATTCAAACGATCAAGTGAACAAAATTCTTCAGCCTGTACGGCTCCCCTCTGTTGCCTTTGTGGTGGCTCCTGTGGAGGAGTCCCTGGATTACGCCTGTAAGAACCCCAAAACACAGTCTGCCCCAGGGTCAGATTTTCCATCTCCATTGGCAGTCTGACATGTTTGAAAGACCTGGTTGACTAGATACAATCTGTTCCCTTAGCCCAAATCTTGAGCTCTGGCTCATTTTCAGGGCGTTTTCCTGGATGGTGAGAGGTGAGGGCCAAGTGTGCTAACTAAGTGGGCAGTGTGGACTCCAGGCCCAACGCACCACGGGAACTTCTGGGCACCTGTGAGGGTCCCAGCAGTGAAACTGGACTAGGTCCTTTTTGTCACAGACAGTAAGGGACCATGGAAGGGACTTGCCGCTTTTACTACCCTCACCTGGGCTGCTCAGGACAATGTTTTCATTAAAATCTCTGCACACTTTCTCGACTTTTAACTGTGAATTATTTAGATGTTGAATAATGAATTTGTGGATGGCGCATCTTTCAGGAGATGAGCTGTGAAAATTTCTCCTTGCCACTGCTGTGGCCTGGGTGATCTTGGGCAATTCGCTAATGTCTCCAAGCCATAGATAGTGTTCTATTCCAGATGATCCCTTAGGTCCCTCTAAATGCTAACAGTCTATCCTCTTATAATTTTATTATTTTAGTGTTTGTTAGTCACAGACCTGTTTCTTTTGTCATTAATGGAGAGTTCATTTTTTGTTTGCCCCAGGATCTATGAACTTGGACAGAAGATTCCATAAAAAGTGAGACAAGTTCTCATGCTTTCTCACCCCTCTAGTTATACCATCTGAAATAGAAATACTAAAAAGTATGTGCAGAGCTCTTCTCTTCAGAGAATGCTGTGTGCCAGACCCTACACTGGCTCTTTAGAGATAAAGACTAGTAAGACAAGGTCCCTATTCTAACGGAGCTCACAGTTTAGTGGAGGAAACAGACAAGCCAGCAAGTTCAGGAGCTTCTAAGATTCACGGAAGCGAACCATACGGGATATATGAAGGGGCTGTGGCCAAAGGGTGGGGAAAAGAAAAGACTTCATAAGAGAGGTAAGCTCATGATTGATGGATTAATAAATTTTTATCAGGTGGCATTTGGGGGGAAGACAGGCCAAGAAGAGTGAACAGTGAGCAAAAATACACTGGCACTCCTTGGCATATTCTGGAAATAATAAAGTTTGTGTGGCTATAGTGTAAGGTTGGAAAGTGAGAACAGTGAGAGTCTAGAGAGATCATAGGGCTAGATCATGAGGGGCCTTGAACGCCACATAAGAAGTTCAGCCTTAGCCTGTAGGCAGTGGAGAACCATGGAGTGTTCTTGAGATTTTGTGATTAGGTTTAGGCCTTAGAAATGTCCCTTGACTGCAGTTTGGAGATTGGAGTTGGCAAGTGTAAAAACCGAACAATGAGGAAGCAGTTGCGGTAGTTAAGAGCTGATGAGAACTTAAATTAGAGCTGCCCATAAACTGTGGGGATGGAAGATAAGCAGGTGTCAGAATTAGAAACTGTAAGACTGGATGATGCTTCACTTTTGATCCTCACATCAACAGTCTGAAGTGATCAGGGAGAAATTATTACTGCTGTTATGAGACAACAAAACAAAAATGAGGTGACTTGCCCAAGGTCTCCCAGCTAGTAAGTGGCACAGCCCAGGCTAGAACTTAGTTTTCCTGACCTACTGCATTATTCAGGATGATGGTCCCTTGCTGCCTCTCATCCTTGTAAGTGTGCTTAACAGATTGTTCAAAGTGTCAAAGGGCATGAGGGCCCCGTATCCAGGGAAGTGAACAACCCAGCACCTGGATGTGGGCAGCATGCTGTGACTGGGCCATGGCCCTTCACTGCCAAGGGTGTTCTCTCTCTCTCTCTCTCCTTTTTAAATTGAAGAATAACACATATACAGTAGTACATAAAGTGCACTAGTCTCATGTGTACAGCTCAGTAATATTTGACATATGTATACATTTGTATTTTACTACCACCTAATTCAAAATATAGAACATTTCTAGGAGTTGGTTCCTTTCATGGCACCCAAGAGCAGGCATGCCTGTCAGAGCAGCCTCCTCTATTACTGTGCCTCTAAAGTTTCAGTTGGATTGCCTTTATCACACAACTGAGCTCTCAATGGCTACCAATAGAATGGTAAAATTTGGAATTTTACGTGGAAGAGGAAGATCATGTGGCACAGTACAACTAACCAATGAGGAAGTCAAGTTGACAGCTAATATTTGTTTTTTTTTAGTCTTACTATTTGTCCAGTTTTAAACAATTAAAGTACTCAAATATATAGAGAAACATAGAACACACGAATATTTGTTTTCATTTCTTTTTTAATAAAACCAGAGAAAATACTCACTTCTTCAGAACATATATAGTGTAGTTCACTTGATCAGTTAGATAAGACATCAAAGGCACAGTCGCACTTGCTTCTATCCTGGTTAATCTGGAATGTTATTTTATGTTGCATAATGCTGTCTTGTTCACTCTCTGGTTGGCGTGTGGCTGTGTTGCATCCCCAGCTGGCCCATAAATACCTTGTGTGCAGTGACCATGACCCACAAGTGTTCCTGTCCACTGTGGCGCTCCCCTCAGTGCTGAGTGCAGTGTAGGCTTCAGTTACTCTTTGGTTAATTTTGATTTACTTTAACTGTCATGCAGTCCTTCAGACCAATGTCAGACTTTTGGCCTATGATGAAAATTATGGTGAAGTATGTACGACCTGGGGGGAAAAACCTGGACTGGAACAGGACATCCAAGTTTTCTGTGGCTGAATTTAGGCCTCCTGCTCCCTGATGGAGCTCTATAGGGTCTTGAGGACATCTGTCTTCTCAGAACTACATGTTTCACTTTTTAGGGAGTTTAGAGTGACCAGGGCTTTCCAGCCACATTGAACAGCAGGTTCTAAATTTGGAGACATCTTGATAAGATTTTTCAACACTAATTGGATCCTTTATTAATCCCCACCCCCTGCCCCAACCCTGGGGAAAGGAAACTCAAGGTAATTGTTTAAAATTGCCTGCCCTCCTCCTGTATTGTCTGCAGAGCCATGCGTTGATGTCCAGTAAAGGCTTTGGACTCTGCACGCAATTCTTCTAGGTCTCCGTTTCTTATGCAAGAATTCTCCTTTTAGTGTCACTTTCTGCCCATGATTTCCTTCTCATTTCTCAGCATCTGCTGTATATATTGCGGGCCATTAATGCAAGTGCAGAGTCAGCCTAGAACAGCTACATTTCTAGCCTTAGTTCAGCGAAACAGCAGGGTCCTTGACCTCTTCCTCTGGCCTCAGTACTCCCAAGACTGAAGGAACCAGAGGCATTACCTGTTACCTGGATGGGCAGAGGGGTTATGGGACCTCTCTAGAGGTGGGCTGTCCTTGCCCTGGCAGAATCAGAGTGGACAGGCACGCTTCTCATGCCACCCTGCTTCACCTTAGCCCATTGTTAAAATGTTTCAAGTGTACCCAACTATTGCCACTGTAGCCCCACATCCTGCTAATGTTCTTTAAAGCCTCTCCTATCCAAGATCTTATTTGAGTATACTCGAAAAGATACTATTAAAATCGTTCTTCCTACTCTAAATAGAAATTTGGGTCAAGAATGGTTTCTCCTCTAGGAAAAAGTATATCAAGCAAAATCTCTAAAGAAGTTAGGCATTTTCCCCCCTTTGAAATCCTCTTTCCTCTCTCCTTCCCCACAGGATACCATGAAGGTAAGTTTTTTGAGTCATTCCCCGCTTCTAGATCATATGAAGCATCATCCTTCAAATTTCTCAAGTTAAGCCTTAGGTCTACCTGGGAAGCCTGCAGATTTCTTTCAGACTGGGCCTCATCTCTATTTTACACCTACCCCAAGTTTAACATAATTTCTTAAAGGCCCAGTAGATCATCTCTAATTCATGAGGAGATACCTAACGTGGGGCACCAGCAGCACATCAATAGGAGGTATAAAGGGTGTGCAAGAGGCTTATCTCTCTGGTTCCAGCTGGGTGTGCAGGAGAAGGAGCAGGAAGAGTCCCACCATACAGCCTGTGCTTTCTGAACTGCCACAGCTCATTCCCTTTGAAAGAGTTGGCAGTCCAGCAAGGTTCATGTGACATGGTAATTCTTTTGAGGTCTCTCTTTGAAAACAACTTATTAAATACACCCCCAGGTGAGATTTCAGGCATAAAAATTGAGGACTCAATTGATGTGGCCCAGTACATAGTCAAAGGCTCCAAGTTGCTACATATTAATAAGAAAGCAGCTAAGGAATATCCCAGAGCCTTAGGCCAGAATGTCAGTAGGAGGTGGTATTCTTAGGCATCTTCATGGTTTTGGTAGTGGGTAGAAAATTCTGGCTCTCTTAGTGTAAACTCAGATTTCCTTGGTTTCAAATCATTTGGAAGCTCACTTCAGCACTCCTCCCAACCCACTCACCCATCTCAGAAAGGCTGAACCATCCTGTGTGTCTGAACAGGACCCCTTGGGTTATATGTTTCCATCCAGCACAAGACCCTTGCTTTGTGTCTGTGATTGGTGGTGCCCACTTCTTATTTCTGCCTAATGCCATTCTTGTGTCTTCCCTTAAGCAACTCTGCTGATGAAACAGGCCTGGCCACAGAACTCATCTTCCTGTGGTACTGAAGGTACCTTCCACCTCCCAGTGGACACCGGGACCGAGAACCGAACTTACCAAGCATCCTCTGCGGCTTTCAGTAAATACAGCCTGTCTCCTCCTTTCCTTGTTCCCCTTAGTTGGGACTGATTTGTCTCTTAGGAAGAAAGGAAAGGGAACTTTTAAAACTGACCTTATAAGACACTGTTTCAAGAGGTTCTCCTACCCACATAAAAAATTGACCTTCCTCATACAGGGCAGGTCATCCTCTTTGATCATGTACCCAGCTTTGGGGAGACACAAAGCAGTGAGGGAGGGAGGAGGAAGTATGCATTTGGCCAACAAGTTTGATAAGGGAAGAACTGTGACTACATTTTAAGGGAAAGAACAGAGAGCACATTTGAAGGCCGGTGGACCTTTGGACAGAGTGGGCTGCTCTAGCTAGCACAGGGTTTCACAGCCTTGCCATTATGGACATCTGGACCAGATAGAAATCCTTTGTTGTAGGGGGCTAACTGGTGCATTGTAGGATGCTTAGCAGAATCCCTGGCCTCAGCCCCCCGGGTGCCAGCGAACCCTCATTACGGCAACCAAAATATCTCTAAACATTGCTAAATATCTCCTGGGGAGGCAGAATTGCCCTCTGCATGGGAAATACTCTCCTAGTGGAAGCTACACCGTGGGAGCAAGTATGTACAGGGAGTCCTTAGGGAAGACAGAAACCACCTGGCCAATCAGAATGGTTATATTCATCTTGACGTTTAGTGCAGTGACTAATGGTTTCACCTTCACACATGATACTTAATTTTTTTTTAATGTTTCTGTATTTTTGAGAGAAAGAGGGAGAGACAGAGTGTGAGTGGGGAGGGGCAGAGAGAGAGGGAGACACAAAGTCAGAAGCAGGCTTAAGGCTCTTGGCTGTCTGCACAGAGCCTGAGGCAGGGCTCAAACTCACAGACTGAGATCATGACCTGAGCTGAAGTCGGACGCTTAACTGACTGAGCCATCCAGGCGCCCCTACACCTGAGTTTTAATACAAGATGGCTTCCTGGGTAAAATGAGGACCAATGTTTAGAAGTTACTGAGCGCTTTGACTCCATATAAGGAAGACTTTGTGCCTTGTTGGAGCTGTCCAAAAGAGGAATGGCTGGCTTTGGATGGGGGAAGTGCTTTTTTCTTAAGTTGTGCCATCAGGGGCTTGCAATACCCTTAGAGAGATATGGCAGATAAAGCCTGATAGTTTGTAGTTCAGTAAATTATTAACCTATTAAGTGGATTAGATGAACATGCTGCATTTTTTTCTTTTATTTTAAATACCTAATGTTATCTTCTCCTTAGTTTAGTTACCGTTGCCCTTAGATGTCATCATCAACTTACATTTAAATAACATAACTCTTCACCTTTTGGAGAATTTGCTTTCATTATCACCCTCTCATTTAATCTACACTATAGTCGCATTATGGTGGATTTTCATTCAGGTTTGAAAGCTGTGGCTCAGAAAGATACTATGTCCAATGCCATCCAAGTAGCAAGCAGCACAACTAAAAACCGATCACTCAGGTTTAAGTTTCAAGTTAAGTTTACTGACTTTTTTCATGATATTAATAGTACTCATTAAGAGAAGGATGGCAGTAGTAGGGAGTTTTTCCAGGTACCTCAGATGGAATTGAATGAACATATATGTAAATGGGGTTATTTATAAATATTTTCTCTTAAACCCACACATATGACTGTACATGCATATGGACACACCTACTACAGTGTAGCAGAAAGAGGCCTGGGATGGAGACCAGAAGAGTTGGATTCTAGACTTGGTTCTGTGTAACCTTGGATAATTTATGTCCGTGCTTTGGACTTTGGTTTTTCCAATTGTAAAATAATGGGGCTGGACTAGGACATCTTTAAGGTTCTGTCTAGCTTTTAGACTCCTGATTCTGTCACCAGGGTGCTGTGTACTCAATATCCACCACGCCAGCAGGGACCTTTCTAGCTACCCTGCCCGTAGTTGACCAGCTAGCCTTTGCTCACGTATCTCCAGGGTATTCATTCCTTCCATAGGCAACCCATTCTACAGTGATAATGTCTGAATATTAGAAGGCTTCACCTTCTCCTGTGTTGAAATCTTCCTGAAGTACCACTGAAATGTCCTGCAGCTACCTCCCACTGCCCTCACAGACTGTCATAGTCCCTGGAAAGGACCCAAAATGTGCCCCTTTTCCTTTAAGCCAGTAGTGTGTGGAATTTTTAAATAGAGGTGGGCTCTCCTGCCCCTCCCACGCCCACCAGACTTCCTCCTGATACATAGATTTTGTGGCTTCTAATGCCACGGAAAATTCAGGACACTTTAAGAAACTCAATTCAGTTTGTAATTGGGTCTCCCTCCTAATTATTCCACACTGTCTGTACCAACAAGGAGACTTAGGGGTCAAGGCAAGACTCAGACATAGAGCTTTGTTCAGACATGTAAATCTGATGGTCAATAAACTGATTAGTCTAAAAGGCATCCTTGATGTAAGGATCAATGCCTTTGAAGGTAGTAGGGGCTCACCAGCTGAAAAAGATTTATGATAGTGCAGAAGGATTGAAGAGAGGGCTAGAACAGTTTTATCTCACTAATGTGAAGACTCTATTTATTTTTCTGTTTGATGGACCCCAAACTTAATAGTTAAGGGACCTGAGAAAAAGAACCGGGCCTCATAAACCAAGCCTCTTTCATAAGGCAGAGCTGGGATTTCTAGTGATCTAATTCCCTTTTTCTGTCACAATATTGCCTTTAGTGAAATGAGGACACAAAGGGCAATATGCCAGATGTCCAAGATTGGACTGCATAGACCTGTAACTCAGAAAGGAGTCCCTGCACAGGGCATGGGAAGCCCTGAACTCTGAGCCCAGCTCTGTACTGATTTGCTGTGCAGTTTGGGGAAGGTCGCTGCCCCCCCCCCCCCCCCCCCCCCCCGCCAGCTACAGGTTCTTCATTTGAAATGTAGAAAGCTGAATGCAAGATGCAAGTCTCTAATGTCTTGAAGGCATAGAATTTCAAAGTCCTAATTCTGTGACCTTCAGACTTAGGTAGAAGACCATTCACAAGTACCAGGGCCTCCAGTGAGGGAGCTGAGTCTAAGTTCATTTGAGCAAAATCAGTCAGGTTTTTGTTCGTTTGTTTTGTTTTATTTTGGATCAAGCCCAATAGCTTCTTTTACTTAGATGCACAGAGTAATAAATCCTTAATTTTGCGTTACCCAAGGTAGCCCAGACTACAGCTTCAGGGGAATTTCTAATCCTCAGTGGTATGGACAGGACTGTTAGTTGTAGAAAGTCCACTGCAATGATTTTCTCATAAAAGTCTCACTGAAATACTCAGAGACAGAATATCAACTCTAGAATGCCTTCTGATACTATCTAGGCCACCTGAGGGTATTCCTTGAGAGAAGAATTACGTCACTCACTGACAGAGCCCAGGCAGTTTCTGCAGCCTCTGGACAAAGATGGAAACCTTGAGAACCATTGTAGCTGGAGGAAGGAGCACTGAGTCCTGAGTCCTAGAGAGCAGTTGCTCCATCTCAGCCATCTGTCATCTCATCTGTGAAACGTCTGTGTTGAGCTTAATGATCTCTAGCTCTGCTTCTTCCTTCTCAAACTGTCTGGACAAATGAGCAAGGCCTTCTTATGCAGCATCATCTTTTTGGCTGCCAAGGGTATTTTGGCTGCTGATCTGTATTCTGAGTATATGTGTGTCTCATTTCATAACATGAAGAAAGGGAAACAGTCTCAGACAAAGTTATTCTTAGATTTGGAAACCAAACTCTCCTGCAGACTCTTAGAGCTTTTTTCTTTTCCTTTGAGAGATAATCTCAATACTTTGTAAGGTGGTTGTCCTTGGGGCATAGAGGGGTAGTGCAGGCTTCCCTTGGGGATAGAAATTCCAGAGCACATTCTTGGGGAGCCTAAAGGAAAGTTGCCAGCATCGTTGGCTTGTTAACTTTAAGGAATCATAAAGTCACAGTATTTTATTTTATTTATTTTATTTTTTTTAATGTTTTATTTATTTCTAGGAGAGAGAGAGAGAGAGACAGCGTGAGCAGGGGAGGGTCAGAGAGAGAGGGAGTAACAGACTCTGAAAAAGACTCCAGGCTCTGAGCTGGCAGTCAGCACAGAGCCCAACGCGGGGCTCGAACCCACAAACCGCGAGATCATGACCTAAGTGAAAGTCAGACGCCTAACCGACTAAGCCACCCAGGCACCCCAAAGTCATGGTATTTTAAACCATACAGTTTTAGAATCTTAAAACCCTGCAGTCTGTGTTCCAAGTTGGATCACACAATGGAAGTCATAGTTTAACCTCTCTATTGTGGTCTTTCATACCAGTCTCTGCTTGCACACTCCCAGGGCAAGCTTACTATTTCTCTATACAGTGAGAGAGAGAAGAAGAAGAATAGCTCACCTTTATGAAGTGCTTTTAATGTGTCACACACTATTCTAAGGGCTTTGCAATTATTAATGTATTTACCACAGCAACCCTATGAAATAGGTACTGTTGTCCCCACTTACAGATGAGGAGACTGCTATTTTCTACAGCTGTCAAATAGCAGGGTGGGAGTTCAGACCCAGGCAGTCAGTCTGGCTCCAGACTACTCATAACCACTACTCTGTGCTGTATAGCTTTCAGAGACAAGTATCTTAGGATTCAAGGGTATCCTGTCCTTCTGCCCTTCGTCACTCTGACAAGACTCCTCATAACCTTCTTTTATTCCTTTAAATCAGGATTGAGCAACTATCCCTATAGAGGTCCAAATAATAAATATTGTAGGCTTTTCAGGCCATATGGTCTCTGTCATAACTACCGTTGTAGCAGGGAAGCAGCCATAGTTGATAAGTAAATGAATAGACATGGCTGTTACAATAAAACTTTACTTACCAAAATAAGTTGTAGTTATAAAAACTGTATTTTTCAGGTTTTATTTATTCATTTATTTATTTAAGTTTATGGTTTATTTTTTACTAATCTCTACACCCAGCATGGGGCTCAAACCCATGATCCTGAGATCAAGAGTCACATGCTCTTCAGACTGAGCCAGTCAGGTGCCCCTATAGTTTGCCTGTTTTATTTGTATTTTTATTTTTAAAATTTTTTTTAATGTTTTATTTATTTCTGAGAGAGAGAGACAGCGTGAGCAGGGGAGGGTCAGAGAGAGAAGGAGACAGAATCTGAAGCAGGCTTCAGGCTCTGAGCTAGCTGTGAGCACAGAACCTGACATGGGGCTCGAACCCACGAACCGTGAGATCATGACCTGAGCTGAAGTCGGATGCTTAACCAACTGAGCCACCCAGGCGCCCCTAGTTTGCCTGTTTTAAATGTTAATAGTGTGAATAAAATATTCAGTGGTAAATTAAATTTGTAAGTAGTCTCCTGCTAATCCCTATCTTGGAGATTCATAGTTCATCCTCTCATTTTAAAACTTCTCAGGGTCATAGAATAAAACACAAACCTATTTATTCTACATTACTGCACTCTTTTTTAAAAACAATAATTAAAATCCCTCAGAATCATATAGTCCATTGCACAGTCTTGGGACATACCCATTTTGACAACCCCCCCTTGTTTTATAGATTAAAAAAAAAACTGTGCCTCCAAGGTGAAGTGCCCCTCAGGTGACTCCTTGTAGATATCACAGACCTAGACTTACTTCTCTCTGTCCCTGCAGTATCTGCTTCACCTGCCTTGACCACATATCATAATTAGTGCCACAATCTAGAAACTTGGAGGGATCTGCTCCAAACTTCTCTCAGCTGACTCGCACCTCCATGTCTAGTTTCTCATTTTTCACGATGCTACCTTCTGAACGTATGCTTTCCACTTCATCCTCATTGCTACGTATTTCCCAAATGTATTTGATCACAAAGCCAGTTTTTCATGGAATAAACTATGAATCTACAGATGGAAAAGTAAGTGACATGATGTCAGGGAAGAGGACAAGGATACCTTTTGGTGGTGCCTTTTGTGGCAACTGAATAGCAGCTCTCATATCCTACTGAGTACCTCAGCAGGGGTTGGGGGATGCCAAGCCAGTGCTGTGGATGGAGAGAGATTTGTGACCTTATGGCAGCTTGCTTTTACTTGAGGTTAGGATAGAAGAGACCTAGGATCTTTAGAAAAATAGGATTTTAGTTCAGGAAGAGATCTTCATTCTTAGCCTTCTGATTTAACAAAATAGGAAACTAAGGCCCAGAGACTTGACAATAGTCACACCAAATTGGGGGAAAAAGCACGAATTGTAGCCTAGATCTGTTCTCTTCCAATAAAGCACCCCTCTCCACTCTGCTCCCCAGTCCCTTCTTGCAGAATCAGCACCATGTTGCTGATAGTCCTTAATGAGCATCTTGTAGGCGAAAGACCTGAGTTGAGGCCCAGAGAAGGTCAGTGATGTACCAACCAGACTGAGCCAGGATGGGAAGCACAGGGAAGAAACCCCAGCAACACCCCATTGGAGATCCAGAGCCAAGGTCTCCTGGCACTGTCCCTTCAACTTAGAAAAAAGGAGCAGTTTCTAAAACCATTTGCCCTTTCTGAGCCCGTTGTATAAAGTAAGAGAGTTGGGGATCACTTGATCACTTGGTTTCCGTAGAATCATTTCATTTTGTGTTCTGTAAGTACACAGTCTTGTTCCTGAGTGATTTATGTTTCAGGTTTTTCCGTGGACATAGGATGTGACTCTATTTTCCAGAAGAGTCAAAGGCAGCACAATTTGATGGAGTGGCTGACTGTGAGCTCCCTGGGTCATAGGTTTCTGGTTGATGTGAACTTTCATGACCCCTGACTTCAGGCCTTCAGGCAGAGGTGGTTCTCCTCCAAGCCCCAGGAGCAAGGGGAAGAGCTGGGTCTGAATGGTGTTTTCTGTGGGGTTTTCACCTTAAACCTCTCAGGAAAGAAGGGGAATGTGGTAGAGAAAAGTCCAAAAAGAGAGAGATATAAGGAGGGGAAAAAAAGAGAGAGTAAGGTAGAAAACCAAAGAGAAACAGCAGCAGAAGACGCCCTGGGCTGCTGAGTGAAGAGACAGAAAAGCAAGAAGACAGAGTGCAATAAAGAGCAAGTGGGCAGAGGGTCTCCTGTCTGCGTGTACGTGCTTGTCTCACGGTATGTAGACAGAATCCTAGATTGTCTGAGCTGCAAAGGTCCCTTAGGAGATCATCTGTGTTCCAGCCTCTTATTTTATATGTCATACCCCTGAGACCCAGAAAAACACAAGATGCCAGAATTACTCATGCACCCTGTGCACCAGGACTGAGGGAGCTGCCTCTGGGGCCAGGGCTCTGTGGGAGGAGCCCTGTTCTCTGTCTCTTCTCATCTGTGTTTCCAGCCTGGAATCAGCCCATCCTTGTCTGGGGAGTCGTACCTGGGACCTGCTACCTTCTGACAATGTTCTGTCAACTAACTGAAGTCTCTCTTATTGCCTTGGTACAGGATATACTGCGGGGACACCATACAAGGTCCCACCGACCCAGAGTAATACTGCTCCGCCCCCCTACTCCCCATCACCCAACCCCTATCAGACGGCCATGTATCCAATCAGAAGTGCCTATCCCCAGCAGAATCTGTATGCCCAGGTAGGTGCGTGCGGAAGCCTGGGCCCACCACTTCTGCAGGTAAATGACTGACCAGCCTAGGAGGGATGGGAGTGGGTGAGGAACAGAGGGAAGACAAGTTCATGGCTTTGGCCAGTTGTCACTGTTATATCATAGAAACAGTAGCCCTGTAGTCTACACACTCCCTCACCCCACCTCAGCCCCTAGAGGGTTGATGCATGAAGCCATTTAGATGAACAGAGCCCAGAATATCAAAGCAGCAGGGGCTCCTAGAAATCATCTAGCTCAATTCCTTTTTTTTCTTTTTCTCTGGAGAGCGAGAACGAGGCGGGGAGACGGAGAAGGAAAGAGAATTTTAAGTAGGCTCCACACCCAGTGGGTTGCTCAATGCAGGGCTCAGTCTCATGACCAAGAGTTCATGACCTGAGCTGAAATCAAGAGTTGGATGTTAAACTGACTTGATCCACCCAGGCACCCCTCTCCATTCCTTTTCATACAAGTGGGGAAGCTGAGACCCAGAGGGGAGAGTGAGTTCTCCAAGGTCACACAGGGAGCTATTGGTTGAGTCAGGATGAGACCCCATGTGTCTTGGGCTTCTCTCCCTAACCCCCACACCTCCCTTCCTCGATAAAGTCTATGAACAAGGAGGAGATAAGTTCTCAGGCTCTGTCATCAGTCCCTTTGTGACCTTGAGTAAGTTATTCTCTCTCTCAGTGCCTTAATGTCCCCATCTGGGCTCCTTCAGCTAGAGAATGTGTGTACTCTGAGGGGATGGCTATGACAGGGATTATATGAGCCTCCAGCATACCACATGGCACAGTTTTTCTGGGGTGACAGTTCTGCATCAGGTTTTTAAGTAGTGAGGGGAACATGTTTTGATTTAACGAACAGCTACATTCTAGAGTAGAATGTGAAACTTGAAAGATAGAACAGGGGCACCTGGGTGGCTCAGTCGGTTAAGCATCTGACTTCGGCTCAGGTCATGATCTCATGGTTTGTGGGTTCAAGCCCCACATTCGGGCTCTGTGCTGACAGCTAGCTCAGAGCCTAGAGCCTGTTTTAGATTCTGTATCTCCTTCTCTCTCTGACCCTCCCCTGCTCACGCTGTCTCTCTCTCTCAGAAATAAACATAAAAAAAACAACAACAACAACAGTGGGCTGGAGATCATTTTTCTGGTTTGTGGTAGGCTGCTTTGCACTATGTTCTCAGACCTGTGCAGTTATAAACCCATATTCTGAGGCTCCTGTCATTTGTTAGTAGAGGCATTGGGGAAGCTCTGGATTAAGATGACCCAAGGGGCTGTGTCTACTAGCTACAAAGGTCACCAGGCCTGTGGATTGTGGCAGCAGGAAGCATCATGATCTAGGCTGGGGAAAGTCACCTAAGACAGCTGTCTCCATCCGCACCTCTTTGCCTAAAGGGAAATAGTAAGAGACATCTGGGGAAATGCTCTGCATTTGTGATAGTTCCCAGTGGGTAAGATGGTAGTACTCGCACCAGTGTGATTGCCCCGCTGGAAATTCCTCATATGTGTGACACAGTGGTCTGGATTCACCAGCTCCATCCATATCCTCACTCACTGACTGTGGTCCCTGCCTTTACATTTTTGGCAGCTCGTAGAAGCACACTGTAGTAAGATACAAACATTTTAAAGGCTGTTACCCTATTAGATAATCATAGCAATCCTAGGAGCAAAGCAGGACAGGGTCAGAGCCTTATTTTTCATAATTCATAACGAAAAGCTGAGCCCAATACTGAACTGTCCAGAGTCATGTAGTAAGACAGACGCAGAGTCCCAGCTGGGGCCCAGACCTTATATCTCTAGGTCCATGCTTATCTGGCCCTGTCCCATAGGGTCTGGGAGGAACAGGCTCCCCCTCCCTTCTCCCTATATCCTACTCGATGTCTCCAAAAAGCCTGTGTGACCTCAGCCTCTTTTCCCCCAGGGAGCCTACTACACACAGCCGGTGTACGCTGCCCAGCCCCACGTCATCCACCACACCACGGTTGTCCAGCCCAACAGCATTCCCTCCGCCATCTACCCAGCGCCTGTTGCTGCCCCCCGGACCAATGGTGTGGCCATGGGCATGGTAGCTGGCACCACCATGGCAATGTCAGCAGGTGAGAGCAGCATCTACGTCAGCATCCATCCCCCTTCTCCAGAAATTCATGACAGACTGGAGGACACAGTCATAGAATCGAGTGTCACATAGCATGAGAAATTCTGTGCTGGGGATTTCTGGGAACTCTGTCCACAGCAATGAGAAAGATTTCACCAAGGAGGGCATATTGAGCAAGGCCTTAAAGTGTGAACAGAAGTTGACCAGAGAGATGGAAGAGGGAAGGGCAGTCCAGGTGGAAAGAACATGAACATGATATGTTCACACAATGGAAATGGTCCAAGGCCCTTAGAAAATAGGGGTGTGGAGTTGGAAGGGCAGCTGGAAGTTAGCAAAGCTAAAGTGGGGAGGCCCGAATGCCTTTAGGTAATGGGGAGCTAGCAAAGGGGTTTAAGCAGAGGAGAGATGGTTTTGCTTTAAACATTCTCTGGCTGCAGGGTGGAGGCACAGTTATATGGGAGAGGCTTTAAGCAGGTAGGTCAGTGGGGAGGCTGCCATTTAAAGGAAGGATGATGGCACTAATACTCTAGTAGCAGCAGGGTTCCAGAAGGGAGGGCATGGGGCTAATGTTATTGTTAATGTTAATGCCTGTTATGACCAGGCAGAAGCTTAAGGCCCTGTCCAGTAATTAATTCTATAAGGCATGAGGGCTTACTCCGGAAATCATATCAGAGCCTTGCCCTTCAGGAACCTTGAGGATGGAGGAGGAGATGACACCAGAGGAGCAGGTTTAGGGAAGTCTCTGGATGTGCTGACATTCAGAAGAAGAGCATGAGATGACAAGAGGATTGTGGATAACTTTTAGAGATCCAACTTTTAAAGAATCACTTGAGAGAAGAGAGTATAGGGGTCTAGTGGGTTGGGGGTGAGATTTGGGGTTTTGTGTGGCCCCTAATGTAGGGAGTTATGGAGGCCTCATTCCCCAGATCAGGTCAGCAAACTATCGGATATCTGCTTGGTGCCAGCCTTTGTTCTGGTTCTGGGGACCAGTTACTGACAGATCAGACTAGAACCCTGCCTTTAGGAACAGTGGGGCCAGTGGGAAACACAACCATATAAACCAACAATTTCCACTCGGTAGACTGAGAGAAGCATACAAAAAAGAGTAGAAGGAGGCCACTGAAGATGAGTGATTGACTCTGTCCTGGAGTATCAGCAAAATTTTCCCTAAGGAGATGAAGCCTGGCAAGGTGGGAGGGGTAGGTAGTTTGTGAGCAGGTGGGGGGCCCAGGTTGGGGAGCAGTTGTGTGAAAGACTGTGGCTTCATCCTCTTCATCCCAGCATCCTGGGACGGCCTCACTGGGTTTCCTTTTATTTCTGGATGCTCAGGTACCCTGCTGACTGCACCCCAGCACACTGCGATTGGGGCACACCCTGTGTCCATGCCAACATACAGGGCCCAAGGGACCCCTGCGTACAGCTATGTGCCCCCACACTGGTAAAGCCTGCAGCCCATCCAAGTGAGTAGGGCCCGGGCTGGGAGAGGTAGGGGGATGACCGAATACTAGAATCGCCCCTAGCAAAGCACAGGTGTCGGCGGCAGGGGCCAGTGACAGTTACCAGGTGCTTTCCTGCTCTGAGTTCAGTAATATCACCCTTAATGATAGCTGTCACTTTCCATATGTTCTAGGTACTTTACATACATTATCTCATAATCCTTAGAACAGCTCTGTGAAATGAGGATTATTAGCTCTGTTTTGCAGATAAATGCATAGTTCAACATCACTTAACCAGTAAAAAATAAGCTGGAGCTTGAACTCCAGTCCTCTAGCACTAAACTCTGTGCTCTTTACTTACAGCCTCCAGACTTCCTTTAACTCTGGGCCCCATTCTTCAGATGCAATCTTAATCAGATGTTAGCTATCATGGGGGAGCTGGAGACCTTGGGCCACCCCCCGTCGCCCCCCACCCATCAACTTCCTTACTGCCCTCGACTGCTCTGAGGCAGTGCCAGTGGAACACAGGGCTCCAGGGACATCATCTTTTTAAATCCTCTGCCCTACTTCCTGATCTCCCCTACCCTCTACCTCCCCCAGGAGCTCTAGACCTGGACGGGAAGCAGGCAGCTCCACTAGGGAGGCACAGAGGGCTCCATTTAGGGATCCTGCAGTGAGGGGAGGGGATCCAGTGGCTTCCTGAAATGGCCTGACAGGAATATCACGGGCACTAATGGCTCTTCCCTTCCTTCCTCAGATCTGGATTCTCACATTGTATGCAACTACTCAAGTCTTACACAGGTGCTGGAGCAGTTCCCTAGCAGCACCACCTCTATTTGCAAGAAGAGACAACGGAAGTGCAAGGGTCACTTTATGCATCTTTAACGGTTTTGGTTTTTATTTTTGGTTTTTGTAAAAGCTGCTTTTTCTAATCTCCTGCCTCTCCCTAGTGTCCCCTTAGCCGCTACCCTTCCAGCTCTGTCCCCACCTCCAGACCAAGCATATCCTCTCTGCTCTTCCTTCCCCAAGCATCCAGTCCCTGGGGAGCCTAGTCTAGTGGCAGAGAGTGGGGTTTATTGCAATGGTTCAGCTGAAGGTGTGATTTCCTTTGAAGAGCATAACACATGTGACCCTTGGGTCCAGGGTAGGAACTCAAAGCTGTTGAGCAGGTTACATCTCTGGGAGATTGTTTCTTTATTTTTCCGGAGCAAGATTAGTTTAGGACGTTAGCATGTCCTGACACAAAGGAAATGACTTCTGAGAACCATCGCAACAGACCAAGAACAGAACCACCTGATTAGGTAGGAGTGTTCATAGCAGCTTAATGAGAACCTGGGAAAACCAGATTCTTTCTTTGGGAGAACTTGAGGGAGGGTGGGAGGAGGGAGGGCTCTGGGGGAAGGAAGAGGGGAGAGAGGTGCTTGCCTGCTGGCTTTGATTTGTAAGGTCTCTGGCCAAATTGTCTGGTCCTGGACCCTCTGATTTGCACAGTGTTGTTAACTGACCTGGCACTTCCTCAAAACGTAATTTTGACCTCAGACCTGCCAAGCAGCTGCAGGGCGATGGTATCCCAGCCTCCCAAAGCCTTGGAAGGCCAGATGCCCTATGTAATCCAGACCTTGGCTCCAGAGTCCACAGGGGCCCACTCTGATGAGATGCTTCCTCCTGATTAGAGTGGGAACCTATGACATTTCTCTCCCTTCCCTCTGCCCTTCCCGGTGCCAGGGCTCACCAGCTTGTCCGTGGGGCTCTTGGTTGTCTTGTGCCACTCACGGCCAAAGTGAAGGAACCACATTCCAGGTGGGTGCTGGCAGCTCTGAAGGTCAGGATAGTGAAGGAAAAGCAATAGCAATAAACATTTCATAGACTCATGGAACTGACGGGACCTTAGCAATCATTTCATCCATTCCCCTGTTTGATAGATGAGGAAGCTGAGGCTCAGAAAAGATGAAAGAACTTCCCTAGATCTGGCAGTAAATTAGCATTAAATGCAGCCTTCCCACCTAGGGGCATGTTATCCACAAAAATTTGCCTAGAGATGGATTGGCTTGGTTTTGTAGAAATTAAGTCAGCAGCACTCATACCTGGTGAACTCTGGAACAGTCTCTGGGCTTTTGTTTCTGCTCTTTTTCTCCATTGATCCCAAAGGGGGGTTGAAGACTGGGCAGAGGTCACATGGGGCCAGATGGCAGGAACAGAAATTGCAAATGGAGAAATAGCATTTGGAAATTCTGTGAAGACATCTGGAACTTTCGTTCTATACCTTGACTCCAGCCCTAGGAGAAGGAGCAAGTGGGCTGGCTCAAAAGGAGGATCTGTGCTTTTAGGACAAAAGCCCCTCCTCCTGAGAAGAGAGAGGGGACAAGGATGAGGCCCAGGAGGCATGGGCTCTCATGGGAGAAGAGGAACCCCTAAGTCAGGAGGCCCTGCTAGTGTCAGCCAGGAGCCCAAGTTGCCCAGCCATGTCCCCTGCACCTAGCTTTTGGCTGGGCCAACAGCCCCTTTGGGGGCAGGGGTGCAGGAACATTTTACTGTACAAAATGGGATCATTGATAACATTTGGGACTTTTAAGTAACCCTTTTCATTTTAAATTCACATGCACTTGGACAAACCCTTACCCCTACCTCCCATGTCTCCCTTAAAGGAGGAAAAAATCAGGAAACTTTGGAGCCAGAAGGACCTCAGAGGCTGTCTGGCCATTCCCAGGAGGGCAAAGCCCATCAGCATCCAACCCAGAGCCAGGAGTTGGGGGACCCATCTTCTTGGCTTTCCAGGGAACTGCAGGACCAGTAAGGAGAAACCCTGCTATTCTAAATGGTCTGTTCTAGGGTGCTGATGGGGCTTCATTTTAAAACAAAATTTTCCAGTGTTAATCCATTTTTTGCAGATACCTCCTCCTACTCTCTGGCTTTCTAAGGGTGGGTGAAGGTTGTTCTAGATAATGTCATATGTGTGTGGACAATGCCAAAATAATACTAATGAATAATAGGAAACCTTTGCATTTGTCTGGTGCTTCATAGATTTCAGAGCACTTCACAGCCTTTAATTTACTGGCCCTGAGAGAGAGAGGATGGGGTTAGTTCCGTCTAACAAGTGAGGAAACTGGTTGTAGAAAAAAAGGGAACTTGCCAACGTGAGCAGAATGCTAGTATCCTAATATGTTTCCATGTACCCTGCTGCCTCTAGGTGGGCTGGGTAGAACTACAGAGAGGAATTTAAAAGGAGACCTAGGAATGACTTTGTCACTCTTGTTCTTTCTATACCAGTAAGTAAAAACTAACATCTAGTACCTCACAGTTCACAAAGCAATTTCACATCCATCATCTGGCTTAACCCTGTGAAATAGATTATTCTCCTTGTTGATCCGTGAGGAAACGGAGACCTGGGAAAGCAAAGTGACTTGCTCATAAGTGGCAGAGCCACTTGAATCCCAGTTTGCCTGCTTTCCCTCCAGTCTGACTCCACACACAGGCTTGAGGATGTAATTTCAGATCAAAGATAGGCCCCAAGGCAAAAACAAGGTACAGAAAGGCTGTGGTCTGGAAGAGTCCCAAGTCCAGCCCCCCATTTCAGTGTGCATGGTGGAGCCCCCGGTTCTGCTGGCCTCCCCCTCTTGCTCTGACGGAGATCCACAAGCCTGGCCAAGCTTGGGGAGTCATCGCAAAGGGAACAAGTCCAGGAGAACAGGGGCAGTGGTGTGCCTCTGGCAGGACAAACATTCATGGCAGGATCATAGGCATCTGTTGGGAGGCTTCCAGAGATGATGGATGGCCCATTGGTAAAGCTGAACAGAAGGTCAGAGCTGGGAGGGCCCTGTCATTGTAGGAAAGCCAGTGAGACAGAGAGGACAAGGGGTGTGCCCACATGACATAGGGAGCTAGTGCTGGCACCAGCATGCAAACACCTCTCCACTACACTGCCTGCCCCCAGTACCACAAGCTTGGTGGCCAGGGTTAGGGGTATAGGTGGTTTTGGTCACCAGTCAACCCTCTTGGATTCCCCAACTTGTACCTGACTCCCTTTTCCTCATTAGCCTGGGGCCCAGGAATCTGGAGTCTGGAGCCCCCCAGTGGTCAGAGCCTGAAACATAACTTTTCTGCCACTTTTGAAAAAATGTTTTTCCTCATGAGACGGGACAGTTGCTGTGGCTCTTCTCTCTTGGCAGTGACCCTAAAGTGTATATCCCCTTACCTAAATATCGAACAAGGACACATACACCTATCCACAGTTTTTTTTTCTTTTTAATGTATAAAGTGCTTTGACATTCATTGATTGCCAAATTCTCACTTTATAGATGGAAAAACCTAAGTCTCAAAAGGCTTAGGAGACTTGGGGCACGTGGTTGGCTCAGTTGGTAGAGCATGTGACTCTCGATCTTGGGTTATGAGTTCAAGCCCCATGCTGGGCCTAGAGCTTGCTTTAAAAAAAAAAAAAGGCTGAAGAGATTTGCCAAAAGTCATACAGTTAAAAGAGACGAAATTTGAACTCTTCAAATCCTCTGCTCTTTCAGCTGGCACCTACTGGCTCTTGGTGGCAGGCATGAAGAAGGGGTGGGTTGCTACGTGTCTGTTCCAAACAGCAAGATGCCTAAAGACCTGGGAAGCTCAATCTTCCCAGTTGAGATTTTTTTTGAGGGGCCCGGAGGACCCTGGCAGCACCAGGATGAAAATTGGCAACAGAAGGCCTAACCTGAACAAAACACTTTGGGATCATGATGCCCAGAGCTGAAGATACATTCAAGGGCAAGCCCCCAGGTTTCTGTCCATTGAAAGACCCATGTCCCAGGGAAGCCTGTCTACCCCTTGCTTTCTGACCCTGGAGGGCCTACCCACTGTTCAAGCCCAGTGAGTTGGCACCCCCAGGGGACTGGTGTTGCCCTGGATTGACATCTCATGTCAATCCCTGGGCTTGCTTTTCCCATGGGTGAGAACCAGGACCGAGAGAGACACTGTATAGTTAAAAGTTGAGGTTTACCAATCCCAGAGAGATAGGAGTACTCCTTTGGAGGGACTTTGTTCGGAATGGCGTTCAGAAATGAATCACATGGAGCATAAAAGTTAGGCAGGCCCCTTGCTCACCAAGTTCTGGTGTCCTCCTCGTGTACACAAGACTCAGCCAGGAGCCCTAGTGAGGCCCTGGCTGAGCCAAGCCTGGAGCCCTGCATATCAGATTCCTTGACTCTGCTCCATGGCCAGAGAAGGCAGGCCTGGAAGACATGGGTCTTGGTCTTTGTGTGGTCCTGGTTATAGCACTCTGGCTGGATGAATCATTTAGGTAGCACCATGGCATTTCTCAATTGCATTTGAGTGAAGATAAATGGAAGCTCTGCTTTTCCATCCTGTGTTTTACCACATCACTAGAAAGTGTGTGGTCCCCGGCTACGTGCTAAGCTTCAGAGTCCGGAGAGGGGCAGGTCAGGCAGTGGAGTGGGCAGGTAGGAGGCAGGTTCTGTGGAGGGGCACAGCCCCAGGGCAATCCAGGCCCAGCCCTACAGCAGGGGAATCCCAAGCAGGCTAACATCCAATTCCATACCTGAGCCTCAGAGATCAGGCTTCATTTCCATGGGCAGGCCAGGTTGGCTGCAAGGTTTGTCCTTTACCTGTGTTTCCTTCTAGAAAACATGTTTCTAAAGTTATGTATTACATGGTTCTAGGGCCCAGCCTTCAGAATTCCTGCACGGCAGGCCAGCTTCAACATTCCATAGACAACTTTGCCTAAGCCAGACTTGGGCCCCATTCCCTCTGTTTCTCTAATGGTTATTTTCTATCTTGCATGCTGTTGAGTCCAGCCCAGTGGCCAAGTGAGGAACACAGGAGTTGGGACTGGCTGCCACAAAACCAGAAAGGGTAACTAGAGCTCTTGCTTCCCTGTGGCTGTATCCATAGTCCCTGGGCATTCATGCTGTGGCAGTGAGGCCCTGTACCCATTCCAGCTCCCGGCAGAGTGGGTACTCTCCTTCCTGAAGAGAACTGATAGAACAGCTTTGCAGATAAGTACCAGCCCATAGGAGTGAAATGGGTGAAATCCTCTTTGGGCCTGACCCCAGCAAGACCAGCATCTCGAGGCTCTAGCCTTCCTCCCCATGCCTGTGAGTCAGGAAAAGAGTGGGATTGCCCACAGACCACCTTCTCGAGTCAGCCAGATCGTGTGGATCTGTGGTGGGACTCAAGCTCGTCCTTACCCAAGGGGGAGGTAAGGCCAGGCCTTCAGCAACTTGGAGTTGTCTATAATGACCTTTAAAGGCCCAAGGGTCTGTCTCTATCTCCTGACTAAAGGCATTGCATCCCTATATCATATCACGTGACCGAGAAACCTGTTCTCGTGGCATGTAACATCCCTGTGAGAGCATTGTATATGATTTTGTATTTTTTAATTCATTTTAATCTACAGGTTGGAATCTAATTTTTAAAGTTTATTGGAACTCACATTTTAAAAAGAAAAACATTTAAAATAATAATAAACCTTTGACCGGTGTCTTCCAAGTAGTTTGATGAAAGAACTTATCAGTGTTTTCAAAACACAGCCTGGAATGTAAAGATTGGAAAGCCCCCATGGCCTCGCCTTGTGTGTATGAAGTATAAATCTGGTTTTGTTTTGTTGTTTTGGATTCTTTTGGGTCTTTGTTTCATTTTGTTTTGAAGATCAGATAGTGATCACTCTGAAAGATTGAAGCCAAGAATTTGTAACTATGATATTTACTGTAAGCTGTAGAACATTCAATAACTATTAAAAAAAAAAAAAAAAGTTTCCAAAAAAAACAAAAAACAAGTCCAGGGTGACCAGACTGGTGGTTCTTGGGGCAGGGAGACACAGGCCCCCTCTTAGGCCAGTGCGTGCCCTGGGTTTCTCCTCAAGCTGATTCTAACCTTGTTTTCACCAGTCAGGTAATGCCTATGCTGCATCTCCCCACAGGCATAGCAGGGCTTCCCTGGGCTTCAGTTGAGGGGTCTGGGAAGTGGCCGTCGGCACCTGGACTAATTAATGTGTGTGATCCACGGCCAGGAGGCCATGAATGATGGCTATCACCTACCGAGGCTTACCGTGTGGCCAGCGCTGTGCTTTATGTTTGGTAATTCTCAAAGTCTTCACAGCAGGATGGGAGGTTGTGCCCTGTTTATTAACCCTGCCCTCAAGACAGGGCAGCCAAGGACGGTAAGTACCTTAGCCAACGTCACAGAGCTGGTGAGGTTCAGAGTTGGAGCTCATACTCTGAGCTCCTACAGTCTGAGCTCCTATTCTCTTCAAGCCCTACAGTCTCCTCCCCCCCCCCCCCCCCCCCAGCGGAGGGAATGTCTGTGTTTGCTTAAAGTTTGTCAGGTGGGAAACCAAGGGAAGAAAGAGCTTGCAGGTTTGTAGTCACAGAAGGACAGTTGAGGGAGGTCATGTGGTCTCCACCCAAATAGTCAGCTACTGTCTGTTCCCATCCTAAATCTCTGCCTCCTCTTCCCTTGGGCAAAGCCACTGCCCTAGTCCAGGCCCAGGCTTCTTTTCCTGGTCATTGTGGCCACCATTGCCTCCCAGAGCCTGGCCCAACCAATTCCCCACTCTCCTAGCCTGTCAAGTATTCAACCTCTTCAACTAGAGAAAAAACTGAGGCCCCATGAGGCCCACTGACCTGGCTCACATTAGAGCTATAATTAGACTTCAGGACAAACTCCTAACTGTCCAACCCTTCCTACCAACCCATGCCCTGTGCCCCTGCAGCATGCTCCCCAGTTTCCCTCCTGTCCTCACCTCACAGGAGACTCATTCTCCCTCCCTTGTGGTGGAAAGCTCTGTAACATGTAGGAGCTGAGGGCACCGCTGGCCACAGACTTTGTCGGGCTGTGTCATAGCAATTTCTCCAGGGCAGGAAAGGAATTTTCCAGGGACTCAGCTCCAGGTCACAGTGGCAGGGCTGAGGACCAGGAGCAGACGGAGGTGGAGATCTGGGCCCCATATTCACTATTCTGGTCCTTTGGGCAAGGAGTGGAGTAAGGAGAAGTCAGAACTCCCCTCAGCCCAGTGCCCCAGTCTGCCCTCTGGCTCCCAAGATTCATAGGGGACAAGCCAGGAAAACTTTCAGATGGGGGCCCTGAAGGCCAAGGGCATTGGATATTCCCATACCTGATCCCTCAGCAACTCATCCCATCATTTTAGGGACAGGTGAAGAAATTTAGGTGAGAGTCGTACTCTGGCTTCCAGCAAGCAGAAAATGGGGAGGGGGGTGGGGATGCAGTGCTGGAGGAGAGCTGTGCTTATTACCCTAGGGCCCAGCACCAAGGTGAGGGTATCTCTCACCTGGCCTGAGAAGCCAAAGCCAGCCTCAGTCTCCACAGCAAGGAGGTATTTAGAGTCCCCAGTCCGGCCTTCCCCTGGAAAAGGAGGCTGGAGAGTGGGATGGACCAACCACCCCCCCACCCCATCTCTTGCTTTCTCATCATCTTGGTGTGTCATCCAAGTCCTGGGTGAAGTGGGGTTCATTGGCTAAGGGGACAGCCAAGTTTGAGAACCCAAACCTTGACATGGAGCTAAGAGTTGGCAAATAGGGACACCAAGTAGACCCTGGTAACCCAAGGGAACAGTTCCTTGGGAGCACGGGTGATGACCACTAGGCCCCTACAATGGACAGCCTGTTTTAGACTTTGACAACCTTTGGCTCTCCAGAAAATTCCTCCTGATCTCTCCTTTCCTCCTCTCTCCTAGAGCAGTTAAAGCTTTGTCTCCTGGGCCCTAGGAGGTGCCCTCCCTCTCCACACCTCAGAAAGAGAAGCCTATGCCCTGGAAAGGCAAGTAAGAGGCAGGGAGAGATCCTATCTCAAGGCACGTCTGTCCAGCTTCCTGTAGGCAGGAGGTTTTTTGTGCTGCTACTGGGCCAGGCTGTGGCTTCTGCACAGAAGGGCCTCTGCCCACAGACAAGACAGTGTCTAACTTTTGCATCCTGCCACGGCCCCAGCCTTCAGGTTGGGCAGGAGTCCAGGAGTGGTAGTGGCACCTGTGGCCTCAGGAACAGCAAGGGCCAACATGAACTGGGCCTCCTGGAGTCCCATCCTGACCAGTCACCTTCACCCAGAAGGTATGGGGCTCCCACAGGCTGTCCCTTTCCACACCTCCCCAGGCTCCACCACACATCAGTATCTGGTTCTTTAGCCTCTCCTTGGGACTTTCCATTAGGATTTAAATGTGTCCCCTTCTTCCATCTTTAAAAAATACACCAAATACCCAGAGAACCCAGAATTAACTAAAAAACTTACCTCTCTGGAGCTTAAGTCCCCACCAGCCTGTCACAATCTGGCTTCTGCAGGGAGCTCAATCCACTCAGACCTGGTCCAGCTGTACCATGTCCCCATGTGCACTAACCAGGGGCTGCTGCGGTCCTGACCCTGCGGCAGCACCTGGCCTTGTGACCCACCCTGCCCCTCGCTCCCCTTCCCTCACTTGCAGGACACTGCAGTCTCCTGGTCTCCTTCCCACCTCCTTGGCAGCGCCTCTGGAGCAGCCCAAGAGTCTGCCTCAAGCCCTCTCTCTCGGTCCAGTCCTGGTGCAAACGCCTACGTGAGTGCTTCTAGATATTCTTGTAGCCTGGGTCGGTCTCTCGAGCACTTCAGGTCTTCACATTCCAGATGCCCAGGGGGCTGTATCACAGCTGTCTCCTGGCTGCTCCTCCTCTTTTCCCACTCAGCTGGCCCTAACCTGTTGACCCACCTGCTGTTACCAAGTCCTAGCACTTCCATCTTAGGAATCTCTTGGATTCTGCCCCTACACCCTGGCCTCCACCACTTCTTGCCTGGACAGCTGCAACAGTTTCCATGCCGAACTCCGGCTCCACCCTCCACACTGACCAAGGGTGAGCTGACCGGCTCCCCTTCCTAAGTGCTTTAGAGGTTCCTTGGCATCTTTGGCATAAGACTGATGGCTACCAAGAGTGTGTGTAGCTGCCTCCTGCTGCCCACACCCACTCCAGTCTCCATACCCGTCACCTTCAACTTCTAGCTTCTCCAGGTCTGCGTAGTTCCCCTGGGCCTTTGCACATGCTGTTCCTTGTCTGAGGACCACATTTCCCCTTCCCATGTTCTCCAGCTCCCAACAGATCTGTCTTACCTCATCCATCTCCCAGGCTCCTCTTCCTCTAGAGCTGTGCCATCCAAGACAGGAGCCACTAACCACATGTGCTATCGAGTCCGTGAATATGCTAGTTCTTATTAAGATGTGCTTTAAGTATAAAATACACACCAGATTTCAAAACAAAATTAATGGTTCATGCATAATTTTTATATTGACTATACTGAAATGAAAATACTTTAGATATAGTGGCTTAAATACGTTATTGATAATAGATTTATCTGTTGTTTTGCTTTTTAAAATGTGGCTATTAGAAAATTTTAAATTACATATGTGGTGTATACTATATATTTCCATTGGACAGCACTGCCTCTAGGGGTTTCAGTGAGAACCTGATGAAGTGAGGGGGCCTCCTTCAGCCCCACTTCACCTCTGTCCCTGTGCCCACCTGTCACAGACCTGACACTGCAAGGGAAGGGATGGCCTGTCCCAAACACCGTGCCTGACCCAGAGCTATTTGGTGAATGGGCAAACGACCTGCGAAGAGGCACAGGGAAAGAAGCTCCTCGTGACACGACTTTCCCACCTTTTATTATCCAGTAAATGGATGGGAATGGAGACAAAGACAGGACAACAGCCAAGTTTCAATAAATAAGAGAAATGGGGATGGTAGTGGGGCCCATGCCTGCACGACCCCACATAAATAACCAGGTTGCTGAGCCAGAGTGGACATAGGGACTGGGCTGGGCAGTCGCCTGCACTGCCCAGACTGGGGGACAGACACCAACACCACAGGGACACACAAACCACGGAGGCCAGAGGCACCTCACCAGCCCCTCACACACCCCTCTCCCTAAAAGCTCCTGAGATCTTGGGGTGGCTGTGCAGGCTGGCACCCCGTACCACAGCCCTGACCAGGTCAAGACTGTGGTACCAATTTCAATAAAAACAGCAGGGTGGGGGGCAGATACATGCATTAAGCCCCTTCTTGTAGGCAGAGCCAGGGACGGGCCGCCCCATGGGGGCCTGAAGGCAGAGGCCCTAGAAGCTGCAAAAATGGGGCCAGATAAAGCTACTAATTGGAGGGGTGGCAAGGAGTCAGGCTCTCCCCTCACATGACCCAGACCAGAACCTGCAAGGAACTGGAGAAGCCTTGAGCCCTGAGATACCTTTCTCTTCCCACTTCATGGTCAGAAGAATAGTAACCAGGTCATGGCCAGGGACTTGCCCGTGGTTAGAACCTGGGAACTCAAGTCTTCAGTCCATGGCTTTTTGTTGCTCCTTCCCTTTACAGGGCCCACTGGAAGAAGGGGGGGGAAGGTCAATGCCAGGGCCCTATACAGAGGCAAGGGCAGCTAATTACCAAGGTGTGGGGCCAGGAGTGCCAGGCAGAGGGCTCCTTCCCTGCCAGGCCAGGGCCTTGCCACTTAGTGGTACAGAGGCTCCTGCAGGGTCCCAGGATCTGGCCGGGCTAGGACACAGGGTCAGGGCATCTTTCAGAGAAAGAAGTGGGTGACAGGGACAGGGGAGGGGCTCTCAACCTGCTCCTGCACACAGCACCCACCAGCTGGCCTGCCTCCTCACTGGGGCGGACACTCCCACCTCCAGGCCTTGGCCTTTGCTGTTCTGTCTGCTGGGCCATTACTTCTTGATCCTCACACTCCCAGCTGCAGCTCTCCCTCCTCCAGGAAGCCTTCAGAACCTCCCAGGGCAGGGTTGCCGTGTTCTCAGATGAGATAGACCATCAGATGACCAGGTTGCTCTCATTTAGCCGGACCACATAGCGGTTCTCCTGGGAGACAGGTGAGGCATCACAGTGGAGTCAGGGGCTTCTGCGCTCCCTGCCCAGGGTCTCCTGTACCTCCACCCCCACTCCATCTGCAGTTCAGGGTCAGCCCAAGTGCCAACTGACACTTTCCCCCATAGCCCTCACCTCAGCCTTGTTCTCTGCTGGGGGCTTCAGCCACTTAGTATGGCTTCCACCGTTTCCCAGCAGTGCCTGCTGCTCCGTGGGGAGGCCAGGTTGTGGGGAGCCAGGGAGATCACTCCCTGAAGGCCCAACCTCCGTGATAGTCTTCACCTCAGAGGCTGCTGAACTTGACCGTTGCTCAGGAATTCGGGCCACTCGGAACCTGTGGTGGAGGAGTGAGGAGTGGTGGTACGATAATCCCATTAAAGAGGGAACCACAGGTCTAGAAAGGGCTGCCACACCTGCCAGGGTCCCACAACAAGTTCATGGACCAGAGTCTGAGCCCTTCCTATACCCTCTCACCCACAGATGAGCCCCTAACCACCCTCAACCCTAGGCTGTAGGTAAATGGTCCTTTGGCTTGAGGGGCCCAAGGTGTGATGGAGGCCAGGACCCTTCCCTGGCAACCCAAGGGTTGGTGTGATACACAGCAGAGCTGGAAGACTTGACTTCTCCCTGATGACTCTCCCACTGCCCAGAGAGGCATACTGAGGCCAAAGACGGACCGATCACCAAGCAGGATGTTGAGGACTCAAATAGGGCCCGGTCTCTCCCACCCTGGCTGTAACGTCTCTCCCCGACCCTCCTATATCTATGCCCACCTCACCTGCCCACAGATAAGATGGTGATCTCGCCCTGGCGTCCTGCCTTGGCCCCAGCCTTGGGAGCCCTGGCTGGGTTGGGCAGGAGTCTGGGAGTGGGAGTAGTGGCAGCTGCGGCCTCAGGGGACAGCAGCACCTCGGGCCACTTCTTCTGGCTACAGCGGGAGCAGCAGGGGCCAGAGAGTGAAGCCAGGCCCTGCACGGTGTGGAGGTGGTGGCGATGCGGACAGACGTGTGGGATGCTGGGGGGACGTGGTGGCAGCCTGCAGAGGGCACAGTGGGGAGCAGTCACTAGGGCAGGCCAGTGCCAGGGCCAGCAGTTCCCAGGAGGTAGTGAAGGGGAATCGGGAACATGAAAGGGAACATACCCCAAGTGGTGAATCCCTAAGGAAGCAGGCTGATTATCTGTGGGTTTTGGTCTCCTGCCCACTCACCTGGGTATGGGCCTGTGGCTGGTCTGTACCAGCTGTTTGCTGTGATACTCCTTCAGCAGCTCCTCCAGGGCCGCCGCGTTCTCTGTTGGGCAGCTGTGGTCAGAACCCGGCTCTGGACCATGAGGGGCACTCCCCATGCACCCCCACCCTGCCCCACTCTGGGCCTTGTGCCTTTTTCTCTACCCCTCAGCCATACTGATGAGAGTGTGCCAGGCTGGCCCCAGGCATGCGAGTGGGAGGGGCGGAGTAGGGAGGCGACCATCCATTCCCAGGCACAGGAATGGGGTCAGACCTCCCCTCACCTTTCTTTTCCGTGATCAGGCGTACTAGGACCCCAATGGTGTCCTCATTGGTGTCCTCAGCCCGGTAGGCAGGGTTGATCCCTGTGGAAGAAAAGTAATAGCCATAGCCCTGAGGAAGTGGAGGGTTGACTGAGGTGGGCGGGACCTCCAGGCTTGACTCCAGACTTGACAGCTACACCAAGATGTGGCAGCAGAGGGCACCCCAGGCCTTCCTAGGAGTTGTGCTGCAAGCCAGGTGTTTATGCAGTGGTGGCACTCCAGGCCTCAGCTTGGGCTCTGGAAGCTCATTACCTCTGCTCCCTGCAATTGGGGGGTGAGGGGAGCAGCCTCTTATGGGGCCTATCATCTCCCCTGCACAGCCTCAGGGAGCTGTGGGCGGTCTCTCTGCCCAGAACCCTGGACAGCTCTCTGGCAAACTGCCATTCCAGGCTTAGGCTTATCACACTTCCCCTGCACACCACCCTGTCCATATGTCTGAGGGCCCTCAGGGCCCAAACCTCAAGAGCACGAGAATAAGTCACACGAACAATCCTGGGCCACTTGCTGAAGGAAGACTTAGGCTAGGAAAGCAAGTCCCAGACAAAATGGCCTGAGTTGCCATCCTCCTGCCTGCCCAAAGCTCCTGTGCACTTCCTGCCCCTGCCAGCCAGCAGCATCAGGAGCCGGGAAGGACTCTGGCCAGTGGTGCAGCCTGTGGCACAGGCATGAGAAGCACTGGTTCAACCTTGACCTGGCCGCAAGTTCTTTGGACAGTGTGTGTGCATGGGGGGCCCTATTGACCTTCAAGGATTCAAGGTCAAGGGACAGTGCAGGGAAGAGGAAAGGGGCCCAGGACCCGGGTGGGGGCTTGGGGGTGGGGGGGCGGGTAACACGTCTTCCCTCTGGTTCCAAGACTCCTAACTCAAACCACGGCCTGTAGCTGAAACCGGAGTCCCTCACGGTGTCTGCTTGACCGAAGCCACTTGACTTCTCTGCCCTTGTCATCACCTGAAGCCACTTCACCTTTCCTTCCACTCTGTCACTTCACACAGTCTCCTCTGCAGCCACATGCAGCACCTCCAGAAAGCCCTCCTGGTTAGCCCTCTGCAGGCCCCTCCCTGTTAGTCCCTCTAGGCCAACAGGTTCCCTTGAACAACCCCCAAGCTGAGCTGGGCTGGGCTAGCCCCTACCCTCTGGCCTCCCCACTGAAGACCCCAGGCTGAGCCTCACCGCTGCCTCCACCTCCAGGGCCGGGCCCAACCTCCTTGTGGGCCGTGCAGTGGTAGCCTTTCCGCTTGAGCAAGTTGCACACCAGGATGCCCAGCAGCCCCATGAGGCAGAAGACAGGCACGATGGCAATAACTGCATACTGGGCAGCTGTCTCCTCAGGGCCACCTGCCCGCGTGCCATTCCCAGGCTGCCGCGTATCCCCAGCGCTGCTGGCCCCTGCTGCCACCTCCACACCACGTCTGGCCCGCTGTCCCCGCTCTGAGCGCCACAGAAGATGGAAGCATTGAGGAAAGATGGAGGCAGAGAGGCCCAGGGCCTGGGTTAAATGGGGGAGGGGGGCCACTAATGTGTCCAGAGCCACCCACTGCCCACTCTCCACGTGCTGGGGAGGCAAAGGCCAACCCACCCCTACTTGTCAGTCAGCCTGAGCAAGGCCTCCTCAGAACTCAGGACAGCCAGACCCTCAGTCCCCTGTCCACCTGTCATTCTGGGGTGAACACAGTACCCAAGCACATGCCTTGCCACATGGACACCGGATCCCACCCCTCCCCCCAACTGGGCCGATGAGTTAGTGGCCTCAGAAAGTGACAGCAGGCAAGGGGTGTGTATGCTTGCACGCATCTGCATGTGTCTCTGAGGGGAAGACAGGAGACACGGAGGACATTAGCTCCTCGGCGCCCCTCGCCATGACTGCCACCTGCTGGATGGGTTCTGCTCCTCAGAAACAAGGTGAGCAGACACACTACCAGTGGAACAACTGAACACATCTCGCTGGACACCCGCTGGCTACACATCCTTCCCTGGGCTCAATCAAGCTAACTGGATCCCCTTCTATACACACCTTCACCAGTCCTACCCCTGTCTGTCACTCACCATAACAGCTGCGAGTACCCAGAGGTGTCCAGGAACACGGCTGACAGGAGACACGGGGGACCCCTGAAGCAGCAAACCACCTGCAGAGAGAGAAGACATCACTGAAGCCTAAAAACTATCCTTACTGTCCTTAAGAGAGGCTCCTGCCAGGCATACTCACTGGTCCTTTCCCATCCCATTTCACAGACGGGAAGTCTGAGGCCCGCTCAGGGGGTGGGTGAGGCTGGGACCCTAAGACCCAAAGTCCTGGTCACCTAGCCATGAGCCCTCAAGTCCCACCCCATGGCTCACCCAGGCTGGCAGTCTCCACATAAGGTGTCTCGAGTCGCTGTGCCTGCCTGGGCCTCCAGCCTCCCTCGAGGGCTGCAGCGAGAGTGGGGCTGGCACGGGCCAGGGCCCCATGAAGCAGAGAAAGTGCCGGGGGGACAGGACCTACATAATGTGCCCTGCCCCAGGTCCTGTGGGAGGGAAAGGATGAGAACTAAGCCTGGAGTCAGGTCTGGGAAACCTGCCCCTGGCCCTCAACAGTCTTCCCAGGAAAGGGCAGGCGGGCAGGGTGAGCTCACCAGGCTGGGCTCCTCCCCCGGTGGGCACCGCCAAAGGGTCGTTGATGTTGGAGTGGCCAGAGGCCAGGGCAGCAGCTGGAAGAACAGCAGGCAGGACACACAGAGCAGAAAGTGCTGGGATGTGGCATCTCTGGGGCCATCTATCCACCACCTGCTTCCTAGTGTCACAGGAGTGGGGACCACTGACTACACAGGGCCAGCCCCCAAGTTTCAGGGACGCTCTCTAACCTCAATCCCTCATGTTCCAAGTAAAACCTGCTGGTCCCATACCTGCCGCATCACCACTGCCTTAGGTAGAAAGAAAACCACATCCACTGCTAGAAAGTGATGGAAAACCCCAGACAGAGCCAGATCAGGATCTCAAGCCCTTGGGTCCCTGAGTCACATCCATTCCAGCTAACCGGGACGGTAGAGAGGAAATGCCTCCGAATTCCTCGCTCAAGTTCCGTCTGCCTTCCTGCGGCTGCAGCCCCGCCACCACAGCTGGGCATGTTGTTAACCGGCCCCTGTTCATCATCCCTGGGGCTTAGTCTGCAGCCGGTGCTTCCTGTTCTGGGCCCTCAGCAGGGTCTTTGGGACCACAACCTCTGTGACGTCTCCACACAAGGCCAGCCAGCTCCCACTCCTGCACCCACACAGGGCAGGATACATCCCAAGGAAGGGATCTCAGTTGGCCTCCCCCAGCACGTTCCACTGACAGCTCCCTCTGCACCCCAATCCGGGAATGAACTATCTGCCCTGAATCCCTCCTGCTGTGGGGAGATTCCCCCCCAAACCCGTCCTCTAATTTGGTCCCAACTTTGGGTAACAAGCACAGAATAGAGCCGGCTACTCTGGAGGGCAGAGGGAATGTCACATAGGAGGTTCTGGGGCCCGTCTCAGGCCCCAGCATCTGCCAAGCCCTAGGAGGCCTCCTGCACCAAGAGCCACACAGGTTGGACTGCCTCGATTTTGCAAAGGACGAGCTAGCTATGTGACCAACCCTAGCATGGCAGCTGGCATGGGGCTCCTGAGCCCAGAGGGCTTGTGCAGGGTTCAGTAGTCCCAAGTTCCATCCCCAACTCACCACAAAAAGGCAGGACAGGGACCAGTGCGGCAGGCTCAGCTTCATCCTCAGGCCCCAGGAGTTACCAGCCTACAACAAACACGCACCAGGAGAGGAGGCTCAGCAGGAGGCGGGAACAGGCAGGCAACTGCTGTCCTCCCAGCACTGCTTCCAGGACAAGACTGGACGGGAAACTGCAAGGTGTTGCTGGGCAGGCAACACTGGGGTGGTTTGGCCTACACTCACCGCACCTACCCGTTCCCCCACAGCCTGAGTAGAGGTGGGGGTGCCCTGTCTGGGGCCAGCCTCCCAGGGCAGCAGAGGAGGGGGACAGAGGGCTCTACCAGACTTGGGGGACTTCCCAGAGTAGGAAGGGCTTCCTTTCCCTTCCATAAATAGCCAGGTGCACAGGGACATGAGCAGGGGGACCCTGGGAGGAAGGAAGCCTGCAGCAGCAGTCCTAGTGGTGGGGGCTAAAGGGGCCTTCAATCCCCCCATGCCCAGACACTGCACCTCATCTCCAGCTCCCAGGCTCCCGCCACTTGGACCACCTGTGGGCCCCGCCCCCTCCTGCTTCTCTGCCTTCACTCTTGCTGTTTCTACTCCAAGGAAGGTCCTTTTCCTCAGCCATCAAAGCCGAACACAAAGGCCTCTCTTTCCAGAAGCTTCTCTAGATTTCCCTTTCTCCATGCTGGGACCAAAGCTCCTGCATGTCTCCCCCGCGCCACCCCACCGCCCCGGGAGTCACAGTCCTGGCGCCACCATGGGTCCCACTCCCCAAAGGGCATTTTTCTCCACCGAAGGACATGGAAGGTATCCAACACTGGGATGGGTCTGACTACATTTCTGGAGCAGGAGCAGACCTCCTGCTGTCATAGCAGCCCGCGTTCAGCCTTCTGTCCTCTCTCGGGCACCTACCACTGTGTGCCGGGCACTGCCCTTGGCACAGGAAATAGAAGACGGACACCATCCCTGTCCTCAGGGAGTGCACATCCCTGTTGACCAACGGCCAACAGATGAACAGGGAAACGCCCCCTGCCAAATGGCGGGAAGGGCCAACAAACCATGAGATAGGGTGAGGACACTGAGTGGGCTGGCTGCTGGCCTGAGGCTGAGCACCCAGGTTCCAAGCATGGCATCTTCTGGAGAAAAGCCTCCAGCCAGTGGGCAGGTTGGAAGAGCAGGAAGGAGGATTCAGTTTAGACAAAAGGGACCGTGGCAAAACAAGGGAATCCCATTACTTATTTCCAGGAGGCCTGGCTTCAGGCTTAGGAGGGTGAAGGAAGCTGGATTTGTCAGGCCTCAGCCACATGGCGTATCACGTCTGACCCCCAAGTGCCACTGGCCCAGGGCCCCCAGCAGATTGAGGAAACCCTACCCAGAGCCCTGTGCTGCCTGATGCCAAGTCTGGTGGGAGAAGCGCTGCCTGCCGTAGACCCCAGGTCACACGAGAACCCCTCGGGGGCACAGGTAGCCTGGCCTTCCCACCTGGAAAAGGAGCCAGAGGAAACTGATCCCCCTACACAGACCTCGGTGGCAGCGGACAGGGGTTCGAATTACACCACAGGGGAGGGGGAGGAGCGCCAGGCACAACATCCTCGGACTCTCCAGGTTACCAGGCAGCAGCTCTTGGCCCAAGGCCAGTTAAGAGGAAAACCTGGGACAGGAGAAGGTCGGACCACAGCATAAAGGCCACACCCTGGCAGTCAGTACCCAACAGGCAGCATACTCAGACCCATCCCCCTACGTGTCCCCTACTCTGATTTGGTCACAAGGCTTCCTTTCCAGTTTCTGGCCCCAAAGCCTCAGGCTGGCCCCACAGAGGCTGGACCAGGGGTAAAAAGAGGCACCACAGCCACAGAGGAGAGGACCCCAGACCCACCCCTGGCCCTGCCTGGCACCTACTGGGGAACCTGAGCCCACAGTGACGGGCCAGGCAGCTGCTCACCTCTAGGCCGATGGGGAACCGTGATCTTGAGACTTCCAGGAGGAAATGGGGGTCCAAAGGCCCAGACCCAAAGCCAGCAAGGGCCCACTCAGGCACATTCACAGACACTCGCCGCCTAGCGCCCTGACGCCTTCTAATTACGTGCCTTCTAATTATCCCAAACTGGTACTTATTCCAGTCTGGCCGCCGGAGTCTGCTTACAGCTGCATTCCCAGCCCCCTCGCTCAGCCAGACTGAGCCCCCGATGAACCTGTCCGGCCAGGCAGCCCATGGTAGGCCACCCAGAACCCCCTCCGTGTACACACATGGCCACACCTGCTGCTCTGACCTGACTCTCCGCACCCTCTCTCCCACCAGGACTCCAGCATCTCTAAGTCCTGGAATCTTGACTGAAAAGCAAGCTCAAATCAAAGCCCCTTGGCCGGCTGGGTGTCCATGAGGGCTCCATCCCCACCCCTCAGCCTAGTCCTAAGGCCAGGAAGTCAGTGACCTTCCGAGGCCTCCAGAGGACCTCCTGGAAGAAGGCTGTCAAAGGTGGGTGGGCAGACCTGGGCCCACAGCAGGGAGCCTCCTCTCAGGGCCCAGTGCTCCAGGCAGAGGAGAAAAACCCAACAGGGCCCCAGGGGCAGAGGAGGAAGTAAGCTTAGAGGCCACTCTGGCCCCTCCAAGTCTCCTAGCCCAGACCTGACCCCAATGCCACCAACTCCCTGAGGGACCTGAGCCCCTGCTTCAACTTGCTGGGTCTCAGTAACCTCATCTGCAAGATGGGGATATTTATCTCCCAGGGCAAGACCATGATTAGGTTTAAGTGAGGTAACAAGGCTAAGAAAGGTCTTGTGATTTCCTCCCCATCACTCCCTTCTTTCCCTCGGCACCTCAGCTCTGGTTTGTAATTAAGTATTTGTTTGCTTACTTGTTCAGTGCTGCTTCCCCACCCCCACCCCCGCACCCTCCCCACCACCACCACTCCAACAGCAAGGGCAGGGATGTCTGTCTCACCACAAAGCCCTCCCCCAGCAGTGTCTGGAGCCTCCACAAAAAACAGGTTGAGTGGGAGCAGGCTTCCTAACAGACAGCCCACCCCCACCTCCAAAAATGCCCAAACAATTAGAACCAGAAATTCCCTGGAAGAAAACCAACTACCCAGGGCAGCAGAGCCCCAGGGAGATGCAGCCCTGGAGGCCTCAGAGAAAGAGGAAGCTGTGACACCACCCAGGCCTCAGCAGCTTCCTCTTTCCCAGAACTGAAGCTTGGTAGGTTCATGAGGCCCCAGCCTGGGGCCCTCCTCTCCACGCACTCACTCTCCAACCTCAACCTGGCCTCAGCCGAAGCTCCACTGAAATCTGCAAGGGCCCTTGCCCTTGGCCTCCAGTTGAGCCCCACCTGCAGTCTAGGTATCTTTACACTGGGATCTGGCCCCTGCCCCCAGCCATTCTGAGCTTCTTTCGCTCCCCTACACTTGCCTCTCCCACCAGGCACTGGTACCTGCTGTTTCCTCCACCCAGAAACCCTTCCCATCGCCTGGCCAATACCTACTCTTCCTTTAGAGCTCAGCTCAAGGCCTCTTACCTCCTCCTGGAATGCCCCCAGCACTACCTCCCCCTGTGCAGTCATCATCCACATGTAACCTACCTGGCCCCTTTCCCACAACCTGTGTGCCCAGTGCACAGCACAGGGCCGGGGTCCTGGTAAGTAGGCCTGTGTATGCTGAACAGGGGATGGGTTTGAGAAAGGGGACAGGGATCAAGAGAGCATCTAGGTTCTGTCAAGGCTGGGAGGGCCAGAGAGAAGGATCACTGTTAAGGAGCCCAGAGGGTGGGGTTAGGCAGAGGGTGATGAAACTGCATCTGAACCCCTGGCCTAACTTGGGAGAATCAGCCTGCCTTGCTCTGCTCCTCATGGGCTCTGTGGCTGTGGATACCCCTCACCCACCAAGAAAGAGGGCTGTTGTAAGGCTAAGAAAATTCACCTTAAATACTCAGCACAAGGCCTGACAAAGAAGGAGCCCTCAGGAAGCATTCACCATGCCTCAGTTTTCCCATGTATAAGTTATGAAGCGGGGAAAGACAAGCAGGTGTGAGGTACAAAAGAGATTCTTCTATATGCTTGGCCCAGAGCCTGCAACAGGAGGTGCTGGATTAACCATGGTGAGGATCTGGGAAGTAGGAGAGTATAAGAAGGGAGAGAGGTCTGGATAGGTGGGTGGGCAGAGCCCAGGTCACACCAAGACTTGGGTGCAAGCTGAGAAGCCTGCACTGTCCTAAGGGTCTACGGGAGACTGGAAGGGTTAGTAGGCAGAGGAGAGGTATGGAACAATTAGCCTCTCAGAGGGCTCCCTGGGCTGCCTGCCAAGAAGACCGGACTGGGGAGACAGAGGTGGGAGGCAGGTCCCCACCTGGAGCAGAGGGTGGGAGGCAGGTACTTGTGTTTTCCAGCCGGTGGCTCTAGGGCCTGTGGACCTCCCTGCAGCCTCCAGAGGCTACAGTTGCCGGGAAACACAGCTGGACACAGGCCTTACTCGGCCACTCGAGGCAGGAAGACAAAGGCCACCCATCAATAGAGAAATCCAGGTGAGGAACCCAGTGGTTCCCTGGCAACTGGGGCTGAAGTAGGGCAGTGTCCACAGTGGGTGGCGGTGAGGGCAGCTAGGCATGCCTCCTTTCCATCCTCCACCTTCACAGGGAAGGCACCTGGCCCTCATTCCCTCGGGCTGGACCCTCAGTCTGAGCTGCCTCTACTCCTCATGAGCATCCCTGTTTCACACCTGGGTAAACTGAGGCCACAGGCAATCACTTGAATGGGTCACACAGCCAATAAGTGGTGATGCAGGGGCCCAGGTCTGTCTGATTCTGCCTCCTGCCTCACTCCTGTCTCTCTTAATCCTAGAGTCTAGCCGAGGGTCCAGCATACAACAGATGTTCTCTGAGTGTTTGCCATCCCGACGGCAGAGGCTAGGGAGCTAGTGGCAAACAGAAGTGGTTCGCTGAGAGGCTATTACAAAGCACCCAAGCAGGCCCTGGGGAGGGAGGTACTGCCCCCCTTCCTGGGGGTCCTTGGGGTTTCCCTGCATCCGTCCTCACTTGCACATTGCCCTACGTACCAGCTCCTGCGGGAAAAGGCAGTGAGTGGCACCTGTGAGAAG